GTGCCTTTATGTTCATGTAAAAATAGCATTTATGTACGGAAATGTAAGAGCTAAAATGTGGAGGGCTTCTATATTTTTAAAGCAGTCAATACGTTTGCCATCTTTTGCTTGAATAATCGAAATTTGCTTTACCCTTTTTATAAGGTCTCGGAAAGAGGCGGAATTTGCCGAATATGTAATAAAGTTACGGAAAGAGGCGGAATCTGCCGAATATTGACGACATTGTCATGAATTAGATATCTTAATATACATATTACAGATAGCAATACAATTCAATTTGATGTTGAAAATGAACAAACCCTAAAAAAACGTTTCAGTTATTTTAAACTTTATTATATTGTGTGCATCTGTTTTCGTGGATAGGTCTATCTACGAATTTATGGTCCAACGAAACTTTATTTTGTGTACTATACGCATATATTATTAAATTATAGGCATTTAACTTTTTTGCAAAATTACATAATTGAAAAATCCACGAAAATGTTAATTTTCTTTTCTTTTTGTTTCCTTTGACAAAACCATAAAATTTCACAGTATTATGCATATTCAAAAAGGGTGATCTATTTAAAAAAGTGTCGAATGTGTTTGCCTGCCATGCATTTTTAAATATCGGTTTTCTAATGTTTCGAGTTACATGTATTAAGAAATGCGATCTATAAAGTAATTTTGCGAACCTATATAATAGTTCAGTTGAGACTAGTTTAATATTAAAAATATATCTACAAATTGTCAAACATTTGAAATGGTTAATATGACCAATACACTATATCATAACACAAAAATAATATCAGTGATATAAAGATTTTGACAAGTTATATGGACCAATATAATGGTTATATACCAAACGATCTCATACACACAGTTATATTATTGGTTATAAAGAGTTTACACAGGTTATATGGTCCTATATAAACGGCTGTTTTGAAATATAACTCAAACCGCTAAGCGAGGGTTATTTTGCAAACAACCGTTTGTATATGGTCATATAACAGGCCAGGAATCTTTATAAACGAATTTACATTACAGCAAGCTTGCTGTTTTAAAGAGAAAAAAATAAAATAATTTTTTCCCATAAATATACTGGCATATAAAACAATATTAAACTATATAAACGTTTAACCAATGAAACCGACGTAATAAACGTGCAGTATTATAAAACCTATGAAAGTATTAAAATACTGTATGATGTTTATTTAAAAAAATGAAAGAATATAAATGTATATATCTGCGCTAGTCATCGTCTGCTGGAAATCAAACGTGCATAATTTGATAAACATTAGCAAAGGTGTGGATATCATACAGATATAAATCTTTACCCCTTGCAGAAATTAATTAGAATGTTCTTAATTAAAGTTTGAAATTATTTTTATTTAATTATTATTTGATTATTATTTTTGCCAACAGGAAATCAGTATTTCAAATGATTCAAATATCAAATTATTTAAGAATCAGGTTATTTCTTGTTTATACTAGTATATAAGCGTAATGGGTAAGAAACAAAAGATTAAGTGTATTGAAATCTTGAATATATTGGGTTTCCATTGATGAGGTGATATCCTTTTTTCTTCCTAATGCTTAGTGCAATCGGAATTTATTGACCATTATTTATGCTTTGTCCGAAGTTTGACGGAAATGGCCGGGAAGATGCGATTAAATATTCGGTGTTTTCCCCTCCCCTATAAATGACGAGTAAATGTCGGTCAATGAAGAATCAGTAATTTATTTGGAAAATTTGAAGAACTTGTCAGAAGCTCTCAGTGTCAAAATATGCACTTTTTATAGAACTATTATTTCCACTCAAAAAACTTAAACGCTTTTATTTGTCAACATGTCACTACTGCAGTGCATTGCATTCCATACTTGACTCTTTTCCCCCTCGGTCTTTATTTAGATATGTAGAGTAAAACTACCAGTAGGTGGTGGAAAATGGTTTTAAGAGTTGCTTATATTGCATATTAATTATACTTCAAGTTGGGAGTGAAACACTCGAACAATCTTCCGAGGTATTTACATAATAGATGATATCAGAGTGTTCTAACTTACGTAACAGTTTACGCATAGATTTCATTTAATTCTATCAACAGTTTACTGAAATTATTTATTTTATAGCTATCAAAGTGCTTGTTTAACCTGCAGACATTGAGTAGTAAGGTATCATAAGTGAAGCAGATTTGGCGCGCGCAAAATACCGATATTTTCCTTACTTTATCGTAAACCCCCATTAACTTCGTGATTTTCGTGCAATTTTCTTCCTCCTGTATTTCCGAAGTTAATCGCTTTCTTTAAGTAGAGGTCGGTGCGTCGCTGATTGACAAATTATTTCACAGACTCGTGCGACTTGACTTTCCAGATTTTCTAGACGTATCTGTGTAAATGAAATTGATTATCTGGCGGAAATATCATGTCCCACGGTGATTCACGGTATAGAAAATTTCAGAAATTCTGAACGAATTTTCGCTTCGTATAGCTAGCATAGAAACGACATTGTGTGTGCTGTCGACGTCATTTTTAATGAAAACGTGTGATGTGTATTGAAACTAATTGATGCATAGAAACGGCATGGTTTATATCTGATACTATGTCACGAATGATTATTTTGTCTTATACCGCCTCCGTGGTCGAGGGGTTAGAGTCGAAGACTTCTAATCCAGTTACCTCTCTGGCGTGGGTTCGATCCCCGGGAGATGCTTTGGTTGTTTAGCGCGGAGGAAGGTAGACTAGTACTGGTGTAACTCTCCAGGAACGATGGTTAGGAAACTATCCGCCTACATGACTGAAATACTGTTGGGAAAAGGCGTGAAAGGAAACAAACAAACAAACAAACAAATAGTCTTGAAATGATTGAAAGCTAGTGCAGATACAAATATCAAATATTATTTAAATAGAAAGGTTTTGCAACTCGAGGCTGATGCACTTACGATTATTATAAAAGGATCTCTTTCAAATTGCAGAAAGTGTATAGATTCTAAGTTCAAAGTTCTCTTTTGAATTTTAAACACCTTCAAAGAGCATGTATGAAATTAATTATCTGTTGCATGCAAGTACATGTATGTTTCAATCAAAACATTAATGAGAGAACTATGCTCATCCTTTAGTTAGTAAAATATCATAATCACGGACATTGAAATCTATGAAATTCGTACTGGATATGTCTAATATGAAATATGAAATACAGGTCAAGTAAAGTCGGTCTTTTCCAATAAAAATGCCCATTTTCTTTAATGCCACTATTACATTCATATTTTGACCACCTATAGTGTGTAGAATTTTTAACATAACATATATGTACTTTGTGTTTATCTCATACATGTATTTACAAAGAAACGGTGTGTCAATTATCAATATTTTCTAACTCTGAAACTGAGCATAATTTATTTTTTAAAGATTTAAATTTAACTTCAGTGATACTGAATCTATGCTATTTTTTTTGGATTGCCCTTTAATGTGTGATCTACAATTTTATTCAATCTCTACATTTCATGCGTTACGTGTAAGTACGCTTATTATAATGCGTTAAAGGTCTTAATCTCCTTTTTAAGTAGTCAATGCGCCGTGAAATTTTAAATACACAGCGGCGTTTCATACCAATCTATAGAGGATTTTATTATCATTTATTATGTACCATATAAACAAATTCCGTCATAAAATGTTTTCAATCTTCATCTTTTCAATGTTATTTGTATAATAAATGTGATTTTCATACCGATATGGTATGAACTTAGCTTATCAAACGAAACTTTTGTTATATTACCTAATTCCAGAAATGAACGGATATGCCGAAAAGGCATTCTTTTTAGTTTTATTGTAGTAAAATCTAGGCTTTTATATAACTTTGTTTAAAAGTTTTATTTTCTACTCCCCTCTTTATTTATATGTTATACAATTAAGAAAATTGGATTTATCCCAAGTCGCTATCGTTTTGAATGCGCAAATGGTTATTGAACCTTGTTTTATGTATTTCGGAGTAAATATTTATTTTGTTTTATGCAATAACACAATTGATTGTAAAATCCATGCCGAAAGCCCTGTTTGAAGAACACATCCGGTGTAAAAATAAAATTATTTGCACAAAACATATTGCCTCTTTCGATCTATTTTCAGTTTACATAAACCTATACAGAATTCATTGTATTTCTTTCCCAGTCATTGGTGAAAGTTTGTGGCAAAAAAAAAAAACAAAACAAAAACAAAATGATTATTATTATGTCTACGTTGGTTTAAAGGATATTGTAAGAATTTGCAGTTTACTACTTATTTTTTTTTACGATTTTTTTAATTACGTTTCCATTTAACCAGAAAAAAACCATTGTTGTAAAAATAACATGATTTCACTGTTTTTACAAAATATTTATCAAATTAAGCTTTATAGACTTTAAAAAAATCTACCCAACAATTAAACTAATAAAGGGGAAAAAACTTGGCCAGTAGCAAAGGGTTAGCGCCGAATTCGAATACTACACTAATTACGTTATTCTAAATTACACACAAACAATATTGACGTTTTCAATACTAGTCGCAAAATGTGGGTAAAGATCTATTCCTTTTACATATTGGATAATACAGAAGATTAAATTGAATAGCTTAGATCTACTCGAGACCGTCAGTAAACTTTGCACCACTTTAAAGACTGTAATTGTCCTATAAAAAAATCCAGGCTATTAAAACGAACCTATATATTCTATATAGCTGTTAAATAAGGAAATTCATGGCAAGCGATTCTTCCGTTGAATTGCATAATTGTTATATCACAGCGAAAAAAACCCGCTGTTAATTTTTGTTTGCGAATATTTCATAAGCTTACATAAACATTAAATTTCTATATTCATAAAACTGATGAAAGCAAAACTATTGTTCAGCTTGCAAAAAGCGAACACCGCCCAACACAAACGGAGAGTTAAATAACGTAACAGTTATCACGTGACTTGCTTGACTTGCAGATATTTCTGTCCTCTCCAATTATTCTGACATTATATTAACAAATTTTTCCTCTCTTTTTTCAGGGTCATATGCTGGCGAAAATGGTATGTTGTATTTTATTTCGGCTTTGATAAAGTATAATCAACGAGGTGTACCGAATATGATTCTTTTACAACCCATATTCGCAGGGTAAGAACTGTTACACGCCGGATGGTTTGCTTCTGTTTTCGTCTTAGAACAGTTACGTAGTTCGTAGAAAACTTCACTAAGTTCTTCCGTTACTATTATTATAAATAGAGAACAAAGGCCGTGTATGTCATAAAATTGTAAAATATAAAGGCACAAGAACCCTCACAGCATAAACAGAAGTAATCCGAGAATGTCTGTGATAATCAGACAAATGATACAAAGGTTAATTAAGATCTATGGAACCAAACCGTCTCGTTGTTTGACATACAAACTTGTTGTTTTTTCCATATGCAAATCACAAAATTTTTAAGAAAGTTTTAACGTTGAACTTTGGTTTTACACCTCATTCTTTGTGATTAAAAGAAAATCATTCATTTTATCAATGTTTTATTTCTTACCTGATATAATATTATATGAGTAAAATTCCTCGAAGTTTTCTGCGAACTCCGTGAAGAAAGCAAGACGGGTTATCAGACGGTTTGGTTTTCATTTAGCGTGTAACAGTACTATACCCTTGGATATCTTTGGCCTCGATGTTTTTCTCTTAAAATTCAATGACACAGTGTTCTTGCGTTACAATGTGCAAGACGGTCCGATTTCCGGTAATAAACGTAATTGTAATTAGTCCGATGACCATAGTAATTGTAATTCATTTGGTAATATGGCTAACTGTAATTCATCCACTGATTGTAATTGAATTGCACGCATTATTAGAATGTAGAATTTCCACATTTTTTGCTGCATTATTTTTCTAATCGTATAAAGATATAAGAATTTTGTCGACTACGGAAAGTGGCGAAAATTGCCGCAAACATATTAAAACTATCGCTGGACCAAATATGTTTACTAATATGACAAATGCCCGTGCATGTACGTGTTTTTGCAGGTGTGGAGTACTGGCCGAACCGGAAAGATACCATGTGCGACCTGAGGGAGCAGTCACCAATTGACATACCATGGGATCTAGTGTACACAGACTTCGACGCGTTTACCATGACCGGATATGACAATATGCAGGCCTCCGGTCTAAAAGTGAAGAATAATGGACACACGGGTACGTTTATAAGTAAACTTTAGTCTTATCTTTTGATATTAAAGTTGTCATGATACACAGTGAAGAATGCTAGTGTTTAGCATACTGTAAATTTCGCTTATAACAATATTCAGGGAACCGCCGAATTTATATCGGTATAATCGGATATCGTTATATCCGAGATGCAACCAATTTGAAAACAAAGTGTCCGGACAACATCATTATAAGCGGTATAGCGTTATAAGCGGTATATCAGTATAAGCGGTATATTGTTATAAGCGATAGTTATAAGTTGAAATTTCAGTATATTTTTGTAACTTGTTTTCAACATTTATTCACGTTTTTGACAATCCTTGGATTAGTGTAGAACGTTGAATGACATTAGTTGCCCAGTTGCTCAAAGAGTCAAGTGCTACACTTAAGCCGAGTCTATGGCCTTCAGATTTTCGTTAGTATGTGAAAAATGTGCATAGTCTTAAAAATCATTGTTATACAAAACATCGTAAAAACCGTTTCAGTAAATAAAATTGTTTTATAAAAAATATCATAAAACAATTTTGGAAAATAAAATTGTTATATAAAAAAGATCATAAAACATTTTATAAGCATGTTTTTCTATACAGGTATACTTGCATTTCTAAAGAGACCTATTTTATTACAATATTATGTAAAATACTAATGCTTTCTTTAACGAGGTTTCGAAATGTAATAAAATGTAAAATTAGTTTTATGCACACATAACAAGTTTGTTCGCCGAGAAAATAACACTTCAATAAAAAGAGGACCGTTTAAACAAAATTTAGGCTAAACATACATTTTAAGCTTCCCTATACACTATAGAGTGATTAAAGGTGATCTTAAATTTCTGAAAAGCACTAAATTTATTTTGTAGCATTGTAGCATTTGTAACTACAGTTTTTGTTACAACCATAGTGAAATTTAAACATAAATATAATATCTTCATTTACAACTGTCAGCGGATTGCTGCTTTTGTTTAGTAGGAAATTTACATAAATTGAATATTTACCAAGTCTTATAAGGAAACAACCTTTAATCATTAATTTGCTGCCGAAACTGTCCATTTTAGAAATTAAGTAGGTCAATGGTGAAAAAAGTCTTCACTGGTAATACAAAATGTCAACACAGCTGGCATGCCTCTTGGGTTACTATTAAACTTATATAAATCCTGCACAAGGCTAAAAAATAGTCCTGTCCTTGGCTTATAAATGTGTTCAAGTTCTAAAAAATGTCAAGCAAATCGCCCAATCCTGGACGCAACAAACGACCAAACTGTTTTACATGTAGAACTGTCTTGTGGACTTACATAAAACATGTTCAAATGATACGTATGGGATAAAAATAGTCCGGTGCCAGAGCTAATATATTTCGTTTGATGAGATGCTACTGCAGTAAAGTAAAAAAGTTTTTCCCTCGAAAATATGCTATTCAGTAACACATTATTAACTGTCAAAGTTTGCTTTTTCAGCTCAAATCGATATCTTGCCGGATAAGCAGTCCAGCACGAGACTGTCTGGCGGTGGCTTAAACGGAACATACTATGCCGCACAGCTGCATTTTCACTGGGGCCGCAACGACCACGAGGGATCCGAGCATACTTTCAGGGGTCAGAAGTATCCGCTTGAGGTACGCAAAGGGAAATAACTTTATCTTTATTCATAAGTAAGACTGATAGATTAAGCTCCCCTCCCCAGTATTAAATTCAGCAGGGAATTTGATGAATCCATTTCTTTGTATGTTATGTTATTTGTGTTCTCTATCTTTTAGACGCACCCTAGGCATTTCTTAGTGTACTGTATCTTTTGAGACACACCCTCTGTACTTCTTAGAACACTTGAAACACGGCTTTAATTACAATAATTTAAAGCCGTGCTTAAAGTGACCGAAGTCACATCTATTAGATATTTACAGAAGGTAACCCTAGTGTTACTAAAAAAAAAAAGAAAATTAAATGAAAATAATAACACATTGTCAGGGAGAAATAATATTAAATTGTTTTGTTTGTTATTTTTAGATGCACATTGTGCACTGGAAATCGGAATACAGTACGATATCGGACGCCCTGAAAGAACGTGATGGACTAGCCGTGTTAGGATTTTTCTTTACGGTAATAATACCCTGTACTGTAAAAAGCTACAATTGATGATATTATAAAAAATATGCATTATTAAAACAATGGCAAATGTGCAACTGTTCGAATAATTTCAAGACATAATGCATTTTAAAGATTCATACAGGTAGGTTAAAGCGCAATGTTACGCAATGTTACGCAAAAAGCGTAGTCCAACAAATATTCCATGTTATTTGACAACTTCCAAATTTAACACAAACATACATTAATAGTTTATGAAACTATGAATTAATATGAACAATGCATGTATAACTTAAAAAATGTTGTGTATAAATGAATATGCAAAATTCAATAGAATTTAATATGTATTTTATCCCTGTTACAATGGAAATAATAGAAAAGTCAGCAAGTCATATATAATTTTTTTATGGATATTAGTACAAGAAGCCTTATGCTTAAGTCAATCACTTCGGAGGTACATACTTTAAAACATTTCTGCCCATTTGAACGTTCTTTGAATTGTCACAATAAATAACACAAATTTGGCGGTATTCTGCCTTATAGAGGACAATATAGAGGAGTGTAGACAATTAAGGATCTTATCGCCATTTTAGAAAATACAGGATCTTGACTCACAGGAATTGCTACACAATTCTTTTTGGAGTTACTGTCCAAAGTCATGGTGAAAATGTTCAACTTTAGCTTATATATTATACTGGTTTTCTTATCGTATCTTATTATATCTTATCTTATTATATCTTATCTTATCTAATCTTATCTTATCTTTGTATCAGTTAAATGTATATGTATAAATGTATGATTGCAGACTGAAGAAGCTGGTGATAATGAGAACCTGAAACCACTGATTGACTCACTTGATAACATTGCATTTAAAGGTACGTTACTGACTTGGTTCTAAGTTATGCCCTCACACTATGACACGTGCGGGGGTCGGTCTTATTACTCTCAAGACTTCCAAAAAGATTGTCTTGGGATAGTCTTGGTGTAGTCTTTGGGTGTCTTGGAGTTGTCTTTGGGTACTCTTGGGGTGTCTTTGGGTAGTCTTGGTGTGTCTTTGGGAAGTCTTGGTGTCTCTTGGGGTGATGAGACTGACCGCACGTGCAAGCGTCTGTAGTATGAAGTGAGTGGGATTTTCTGTTGAAGTTGCATAAATATCAAAAATTAATGTAAGTAATGAGTACAGTTATCAGTACAGTCATGATTTCTGCATCTGTTTTAAAAATATTTCACAAAAAGACATTAATCCTTCTGCTGTAGGAGCTCTATGATTACGACCGGTACTTAACATTTATCGAAAAATATTTATATATAAACATCATACATGAATGAGATTTTTCATCTTTTTAGTAAGTGACCATTTTCCAAAATTGTCAAAAATTTATTTCAAAAGATCCAATTTAGATGTCATTTTTAAACTATTTTCATTGTTTACCATTTTGGTGATTTCAAAGGAGGTTAATACGGTATCGCGGTAATACCCAAAAATGCAAGTATATAAGGATAGATGGGTCAAAATATTCAAATTAAGTAGAGAAAAACTCGCAACAGTTAGCTTGCAATAAAATTGATAACTATAGAAACTGACGATATGCCAGTATATGGGATATTATATAATTTTATTGACTATAAAATAACAGTTACGGGAAATGCATTCATTATTCACAAAATTAGATTTATTGACAGATGCCATGCAATTTAGTGTGGCATTTTTAGCTCGACTATACGAAGTATATGGAGAGCTGTCCTACTCGCGTCGGCGTCGGCGCCGGCGGCCGCGTCCAGATTTTAGATTAAAGTTTTGGTGCAGTAAAATATGTTTCACTATAACTTTGTCATTTCTTAAGGTATCAACTTCAAATATATGTTCCTTATCATCAACCACATCTTATGTGACAAGGTTCATAACTCTAGCACCAATATTTTCAGATTTATCTCCCCTTGAACTTAGAATTTTCCTCAAAAAATGCTATTTCTTACTGTTACTTCTTTATTTTTTAAAGGATAAACCTCATACTTAAAATATATTTACGTTATCATCATCCCCATCTTATGTGACAAGGTTCATAACTCTAGCACCAATATTTTCAGATTTATCTCCATTTGAACTTAGAATTAACCATAAAAAATATTATTTTTTACTGTTACTTCTTTATTTCTTAAGGGATCAATCTCACACTTCAAATATATGTACCTTATCATCATCCCCATCTTACGTGACAAGGTTCATAACTCCAGCACCAATATTTTTAGATTTATCTCCCTTGAACTTAGAATTTTCCTCAAAAAAATGCTAATGCTTACTGTTTCTTCTTTATTTCTTAAAGGATCAACCTCATACTTCAAATATATTTACGTTATCATCATCCCCATCTTATGTGACAAGGTTCATAACTCTAGCACCAATATTTTCAGATTTATCTCCCTTTGAACTTAGAATTTTCCATAAAAAATATTATTTTTTACTGTTACTTATTTATTTCTAAAGGGATCAACTTCATACTTCAAATATATTTACGTTATCATCATCCACATCTTATGTGACAAGGTTCATAACTCTAGCACCAATATTGCAAGAATTATCTCCCCATAAACTTAGATTTTTTTACTAGAAAAATGTTTTTTTTTTTATAACTTTTTTATTTTTAAAGGTATTTACCTCAAACTTCAAATACTTATTCCTTATCATAAATTACATTTTATGTGACAAGGTTCATAACTCTTGAAGCAATATTTACAGATTTATCTCTCTTTGAACTTAGGATTTTCTTTAAGAAATATAATAACTTCTTTACTTTTTAAGGTAGCTACTTCAAACTTCAAATATATATTTCTTATCATTACACAAATGTTGTGTGACAAGGTCCATAACTCTAGCATGACTATTTCTAGAATTATTCCCCTTGATCTTGGAATTTATTTTAACAAATGTTATTTTTTTACTATAACTTAATACATAATTATACATAATTGATTTTTCTTTCATAGTTTTGTCCTCCTTACTGCGTCCAGTATTTTATTAGTCGAGCTTCGCTGTCTCCTGTGACAGCTCTTGTTTTAACAAAGTAGCACCGACATACATTGCTTTTTTGACAATAAATTGCATTGTTTTTACTAAGAGTCGCAGAAAACGTAAATTATACCCTGATGTTATAGAATCCGTGATATCATAGGAAGCGAGTTAATATTTGAAATAAATCTTTTTCAGACCAGAATGCTGCAATCACTATTGACTTTGATGACCTTATGCCGACAACACACTCACATTACTACAGATACATGGGTAGTTTGACCACACCTGAATGTAACCAGATTGTTGTATGGACAGTTTTTGAAAATCTGAACACTATATCATCTGCTCAAGTAAGTATGCTCAACATCACTTATTTCAGGATACTTATGGCATATTTCCATCTGATTGGTCGAAATTAAAAAATTTTAGTCATTACTATGATACAGAAAGTATATGAAAATCTGTCCTACTCTGAGTTTTCACTCTTTGAGAAGAAGCATATTTTTAACTCCCCTATTTTCGATTGAAATGTCTGGCTTTTATGGTCACATCAGCTTCATTGTTGTTTTCCTTGTTGTTATCGTCATGCAAAAACTTTAAGAAAGCGATATCAAAATAAACTTGAAATACTTTCTTATCATGACCTGTTGTTAGATAAGGGGCATGTTTCTGAAAGCAATACTTTTGGAGTTATGTCCCCTTTTATCTAAGAATTATAACAGACTAGTACTTCCACCGTAACTTGTTTGCTCTTTTTTAAAGTTTATATCCATTTGTAACCAAATGCATTTGATTTGCAGTTACAAAAGTTCCGAGAGTTATACGAGAACACGGAAAATGAACAAAGACACCATATAGCTTGGAACTACAGACCTACACAAGAACTGCTGGGTAGAAAAGTGCACAAGAACTTTCAAGAAGGTTGGTATTTTATTACAGTGTAATTATAACAAAAATTAAAAAAAAAATATGAGTATAATTAATATTTCTTGTGGTTGGTAAGTGACTACATGTGATTGAAATACAGGGAGTCACCCCTGCGATATGCCTCCACAAGTGAAGCTGGAATTATGCTTCTTATAGTGTCTACCTGACTGAACCTAATGAGCAAATGAATGAATAAATAAATGAACACATGAATAAAGCTACAAATGAATGAAGTAACAAAGGAAAGAAAAATGAACAGAATGAATGAACAGAATGAATGAATGTACAAAGAAATGGGTGAAAAATGCAAAATCTTATGTTTACAAATTGAAATACAATGTAGTTATTAAAGTAGCATACTTTCAGATTTTGTAAAAATTCAACAAATTTTAGAAAGTGGACAAATGACGCCTTATAGGTACTTTAAAGTTTTAACAAAATCTTTTATAATGTGAAAATATGCAGAAATAAGCTCCATACTTTAAATTTGTTATATTAAACTGATGCACAGAATTGTTTTGATTCAGTCGGAAATAATCTTCAGTAATGTTCACGGTCATTCAAATATTATTTAAAATTTTAGATATCAAATAATATTTAAAAATTTAACAACACCCAGAGTAAATTCATTGACAAGATTCATTATTATGAACTACACTGTGTTTGTGCATGGTAAAAACCAAACCCCACCTAAATATTATACACTTACAAAATCCATTAATCATTGGTTCACTAAAATAGCAGCTATTATGATAAAAGAGTTCATTTAATGAAGTCTAGGTAAATCTTTTATAATAAAGCAACAGATTTTGCCTTTTATGGTTGACAAGTTTGTATGATGTTTTTCCGGAAAGTTTGTAGACAAGGCTATTAAATAATAATAATGTGATATTTTGCTAAAGAATGTATTAGCTGTATTTTTCTTTATTTAATAAAAATGAAAACACTTTAGATTTGCAAAATACCCATCACCATGGCAACATGATTGTACATGATATAATTGTATTTTCAGATGTTCCATCCTCCTGGCATTGGGGTTATGAAGGAACTGAAGGTAAGAAAATAATGCAAAAAAACAAAACAAAAACAACAACTAAAAAACAAAACATATTATTAAGATACTTGTTATAATTCTTTTGTTGCAATCCAAATTCTTGTGTGTTAACAAATTAAAGTTGTTATACCTTTATCTATATTCATATTACTACTGGTGCAATTATTTTTTTTTTACATTTCTTAAAACAAGTTGTTTTGTTGATAAAGTTGAAAAGAAATGCTAATAGATTACATGCACTTTGCTTTATAGATCTAATACTGATAAAAAGCTATCAAAGTAGATTTACTATGTGGCATAATGTGCACCTTTATATGCCATTAATGATTATATCAAATAGTTTTCTTACAAAATGGTGGTTCTACTCAGGTGCCCATTCAAGCCTGAAATTATTCATATAAGGGCACACCTAATTCATGGAAGGGTACAATCTACTTATAATATGCAGAATAATAAATATAACAAATGGTGTAACATTTTCAAAGGGAAGTAACCTGTGCATATTTGAATATTTTATAGATAGTCAATTTCTCTCTTGTTATATAGGAGCACACTACTGGAAGAACTATTATCAGACTTGCTCTGGTAACCAGCAGTCACCTATTAACATACCTGAAGTAACTGACATGACTAGAACCAAGTTTGAAGCCAGCAAGAACCTCGATACACTAGAGTTCACAAACTATGACATCAATATTGACGGAGAGATACACAACAACGGGCATACAGGTAAACACTGTTTGGCCCCCTGTGGTTTATTGTCTTGAGCAAGAAACATTACATTCATTGCATAGTATTGGTTGGTTCCTGAGGAACAGATTTAAGAGTGTTTCAATAAACTTATAGCTTCCAACACATTCAAACAATAGAAGCTCGGGAATGGGACACCAGATTGCGGCCTCCTGTATCTAAATATCTTTTCGAATTATCCGAGTGTATGGCCTCAAAATATATATTATTAATTGAACACAATCTGTTACTTTTAAAATAGGTCAAATTTTACGGATTAGGATTTATGCACAGCAATATGCTGCCCTGTTCCTGAGTTCCTATGATTCAAACTTAAAAAAATTCTGATTTAAATTAAAACAAATTTTGAACTGTTAATCAACATGTCATTGATTGTTGGTAGAATTATAATTACTACCAAGTCCTCATTGTATATTTTACCGGTATCAGATAACCAATTTTTCTACCAGGGGCAAAAAGAGATTTACAACTATGACTGATATGGGATTCATTACTAGTATATTTTGTAATATGTGGGTCCTATATGGAGTTTTTTTGTTGGTCAAACTAGTGAGACTCAAAGGCTTGATGGGCCCATATGAAGGGCATGTGGGGGCAATAAAAAGCTTAGTTTTATGGATCAAATTATTGTTGGTTTTCTTCTCTTGGTTCATGCAGGACATGCTTGAATGGACCAATAATGTGCTCTGCTTTGCCCACATAGATCTATTATAAGCTTGGTTCAATGAACAATGTGAGTTTCTTAAGTATTAGCCCATGTAGATATTTTATTTTGCCAGCAATAAGCATAGATCAATTTACCACTGTAGACTTCTGGCTTCTCTTGGCCCACAAAGAGCATACTTGAATATAGTTCACCAAGTGCCGTTAAGTGCCGAAAACAGACTGATGTATGAAATGTTATTCTTATCATTCTAAAACAGCATTACATAAGTGTCCGCTACATTTAAGTTGTCAAAACAATAATGTTACTTGATTTTGCCATGGTTTTTTTTTCAGTACAAATTGATATCTCAAATGGATATTCTGGGAATATTGGACTGAAGAAAGGTGGATTGATGGGTGATTACACAGTCGGTCAACTACATTTCCACTGGGGACATGATGGCAGTGAGGGATCGGAACATACTATTGAAAATATGGCATACCCTCTAGAGGTAAAAACTTCAGATTTAACTCACTTGACAGTGTTGGACCAGTATCAATAGATGCTTGCAAAAATCTTGATCACAAAATAGAAAAATATTGTTGCTTTTTTTTGGCCATTCTTTAACATTTTACAATCATGACCATACATAGATGAAAGAGATGACTTAAATTACTGTAAAATTCCTAATAAATGCCCCTCGGTGAGTGAAAACGAGAGATTTGAGCAATGTATCATTTGAGCCCCTTACCCGGTATATATATGTATCAGTATACTGTATTTAGTGTGGTGCGTCATCACTTTTTTCAGTCTCGCTCAAAAACTGCATGTAAGCAAACTGATAGTCTGCTTGTGTGTCTGTTGTAAGCAGATGTAACTGCAGACATAAGTATGTGCTGTTCACTGTTATAACTGATATTTTGTCTCACATAATGTTTCTTAGGAAAAGTAAGTTTTTTTTATGTTGGCATACACTTAGGTTGTATGTGGCACTGTCTATATAATCATCTGTTTGTTTATTTCACACATATGTTTCCTTGTGACATATTTCAAAAAAATATTTTTCATATGTATCAAAGTTTTACATTTCAAGATATTTTGCTTATTTGTGTATCTCTATATATACATGTATATACATCATTATTTCACATGCATCCATATTTCACATGTTTATAAAGAGAAAATGTTTCACCTATTTCCAAGTTTAAGATGTGACTAACTATTTTTTACAATTTTCTATACATGTATTTCACATATATCTCTTTATGAATATAAATTCATATGATTCTGTACTTCATGTCTATCAATTTATGTCTATAATTATGTCTACATTTATGTCATGTGTATCAATGTCTCATGTGCATAAATATTATATTATGTCTTTACAATTATTCAATATCTTTTTATTTTCATATTTCATATGTATTAAAATGATATACTTAAAGTTTCTATATTTCTTGTTGTACTGCATTTCCATATGCATCAATATTTCATGCGATCTATATTTCACATGTTGCTATACAATGTGTATACAGTATTTCACAGAGGACTAACTGTCATCCCCGGGACACTCCCAGGGCAGATTACTTTTTTCTGGGACAATCCCGGATGTCCGGGACATTATGGCATGTATGGCTAATATATTAAAATTTTGGTGTTTTTCAGATGCATATTGTTCATTATAAAACTGAGTATAGAAGCATTACGGGAGCAGTACCTAAACCAGATGGATTGGCAGTTATTGGAGTGGTGTTTAAGGTACAGATATGCTCTACCTATTGTTTACAATTATATGGACATTGTTTAGATTAACCCATGGTTAAAAGCTTTAGGTAGAACACCCCTAATGGGCACTATAAAGAACTGTAAAATTGACAACATAGGACAGTTAGATGCCTTAAATGTTACCTGTATGGAAAATTTAGACAAAATTTACTGTGTGGTTTATGAGTTATCAACATTTTTCTGAACTAAAACTTTGCCATTAGAAGGGATTTTGTTTTCAGAAATGAGGAAACTCAAAATAATCTATATTATCATCATTATGAAAAATGTTTTTTCCTATTGCTCATTATTAAGAAACAAATAATAACATTCAAGTAACAAATTACACAAGCAAAATGATTGTTTCTTAACGACATGTTTTAATATACATGTATAAAAATGTAACCCTATTCCAGCCACTTTAAACACGTATTTGACCATTTCCCTATTTAAAAAGCCTTATTCAAAATATCCCTAGAATTTTCCACGATGAGGGGCTGTTTTCAAAGTTCGCTTTAATTTTCTTAAATGTATATTGGTTGGTCTTGCAAAATATAAAATACTTTTACTGTGTACTTTTTATTTTAATAAACTTCTCTGGTATCATATTTGCTATTAAATTTGGCATTATTTAGCAAATAAATATCAACAATATTTTTATATAATTAAAATGAAACACTTTTTTCTTCCATTAGGGATCTGAGAGATTCATAAAAAATGTTAAAAAGAAAAAAATGAAAGAAAAAAAAAAGTCACTCCTTTTGGGGATTGAACCCACGCCCCTCAGTTTCAATACACTTGCCAGTATTTAAGTACTCTTCAAAGTGGAGACAGTGCATAAGAGGTGTACTACCTTAATGTGGCTTAAATTTAACCAACCTTGATAATTTCAACCTTAGGTTAACCATGGCTTAAAGTAAATCAAAGTTTTATACAATTGGATGCTGATAATTTTATAGAGTGACAATTTGAGTCTACTGTACTTCTTTTAGGTTGACTATTTGAAGAATAGTGAGTGCTATTGTACTCACTGACATTGGCATCAATATGGGTTCCCAGCATACACTTTGGTTATTAATTTTTGCCAACAAACTTAAAGTTTTCATCTTGATATTCCCTAAATTGATAATTAACAGTTCCATAACTTGAATATATCATATTGTATCACGGTATATTTTGTGGAAGTTTTTAAAGGCCCACTTTGCTCCAGAAATGCTTTGATTTTTATTTCTCAAAAGTTTATCATGTGACTGATATATTAATTACTAACATGATACAATGCAATGTATAAATTACTTACATGATACTATGTGATATATTAATTACTAACATGATACAATGTGATATATTAATTACTAACATGATACAATGTGATATATTAATTACTTACACAATACAATGTGATATATTAATTACTTACACAATACAATGTGATATATTAATTACTAACATGATACTATGTGATATATTAATTACTAACATGATACAATGTTGATATATTAATTACTTACACAATACAATGTGATATATTAATTACTTACAAGATACAATGCAATATATTAATTACTAACCTGATACCATGTGATATATTAATTACTAACATGATACAATGCAATATATTAATTACTAACATGATTCAATGTTGATATATTAATTACTAACATGGCACAATGTGATATATTAATTACTAACATGATACAATGCAATATATTAATTACTAACATGATTCAATGTTGATATATTAATTACTAACATGGCACAATGTGATATATTAATTACTAACATCATACAATGTGATATATTAATTACTAACACAATACAATGTTGATATATTCATTACTAACATGTTACAATGTTGATATATTAATTACTAACATGGCACAATGTCATATATTACAGACTGATGCCAAGATTGTAAATCCAAACTATTCAAAGATCATTGATAAGCTACCTGACGTCAAATACAAGAGTAAGTACACTATTTCTTAAAGGGACTCCACTGATGTTTTTTGACATAACAGGACTGGAAGTTTATTATAAAGATTTGTAACAATTTCTAGTAGGTCTGAACCAATAACTTGTGTGCAAAATTTCATATCATTTACTCACTTTGTTCCATCCAGAATTATGATTCTATTGTGTTAAATGTCCAGAAAATGAAAAGTATTTAAAACATTTTCTTCAAACCAGGTGCTAAGAATAGCACAAAATGAAAAAGAATGTAACTTTTTAATGTTATTCTGAGCACATTTATTTATAAAATTTGCATGTTTTCTTCATTTATGATTATAGAATGATCTATCTTAGAATTGAACTATTTTAAGGATATTTGACCTCAGTCACAGATTAATCTCCATGCCTCAGTGGAGATCCTTTAAAAAATTTTTTGGTAGAATTTCCTATTATGATATGTACAGTGTAAAAAGTTAAATGTGTAAAAGAATTTGAAAAATAGAACAATTTCATTGGACAAAATATAATTGGAGCCACTAATATTTTTTTAATTTAATTTATAAGCATCTTCATAAAAACAACAACAGCAAAATACAATAGCACTGAAGTGGCTAGCTAATTTTTAAAGTCTTTGACTAGGGAAAATCCTCTTCATTTGCAAACTAATATAATGTACCGTATTGCCTTTCGTTATAAACTTATATGAAAATATGAATATGCCGTATGGGTCACCTATACAGTGTCGACAGGCTTATAATAGCAGTATATGGCTATAGTCATGTGACTCATTAAGTCGAGAACTTTTGGCTAACAGTACCGGGCTCTTTAAAAGTTGGCTAGCCACTTCCCGTTAAATTTATACATGTTTATGAAATTGTTACAGATGCCAGATCACAAATCACAGGATTTACTTTGAGAGAATTAATCAGCGACAACCTTCGCCTTAATGAGACAAATGGACTCCACATTCCATTCTACAGATACATGGGCGGGCTCACCACTCCCCCTTGTGCACAAGTTGTTACCTGGACTGTGATGAAAAACCCTGTCTATATCACTCCAGAGCAGGTATTAACAGGTTTAAGTTTTATGAATAATTTATCAGGTTTAAAGATACCGTATACTATGAAATTTGATATTAGAAAATTAACTGTAAATTACTTCACAGTCTCTTTGTAAATATAAAATAAACGTGTTTTGATTTAACCCAAAGTAGATATGTTATGTTTAAAAGTCTACACACTATATTTGGTCACAATATGAATAGATAGTACATGTATCATTAAAAAAGCAGGCAGTTTTTTTTAAGAAAAGTCAAATTTTACTTGATTTTTAATACTTAAATAGGGAACGCAGCATTCCATACATAGACATATTAGACAGTAAGAATTATGAAGATTTCAATAAATTTATGTGATAAAAATATTTTACTCAAGGATGAGTATAGTATATCTTTAATATTCATATAATGATACATTTCAGCTTACAAATAATCATTATTTGAAACATTTATTTTTATGACCCCAATGTAGAAAGACTGGAAGCCGACTATGATGTTGTGGGTCTGTTTGTATAAATGTCACCTCTATTTGTCCAATCAATGTTTGAGAAGAAATGAGCCATGGTTTATGTAATTTTGTAGGGACATTGTTCATGACCAGTGGAATAATCCTTCCATTTTGATGTCAATAGGTCAAAAGTCAAGGTCACATTAGGCCTGGACTACTAAAAGCTTGTTCAACCAGTAATTAGAGAGCACTTAAGCCTACAATTCCAAGATTTGATGTGGAGCTTGGTCATAACTTAGTAGATGACCTCTATTGATTTTGAGGTCAGTAGGTCAAAATTTATGGTCACTTTGGCCTTGACCTCTGAAAACTTTTCTGACCATTGACTAGGGAATGCTTTTGCTTACTGTTCAATATTTGATGTAGAGGTTGGTCATGACTTTTCGATGATCTCTATTGCTTTTGAGGTCAGTAGGTCAAGGTCACTATGTAAATACTTTCTCTCACCGAGAAACTTAATGCTTGTCAATTTGATACCAATATACTTTTTCCTTTTAGCTTGCCGTGTTCAGAAGTATCAGCCATATTACCTCAGGACCAATCGGAAGTCACGATATCATTAAGAAGAACTACCGACCCGTACAGAACTTGGCCGACAGAATTGTGTACCAGAGTGGAAACTTCAAGGACTTAATGGACGTAGACACAGCATCCAGTCTTATCCCTAGCATGCTTACAATTGGCGCCTTTTTATTCACCGTTTTCCTTCTTTAACGAGACATGCCTTCCTTATGATGTAGTAACAATTTTGAGATTATTAAATGGACAACGAATTATTTGAGAACAGAGACGTTATATAGAAACACTCATTGTTCTGATGTCTTATAATTATAAATACCTCTTTAATATACAGATTATCAATCAAATACTTTTTTAAATATTGATGTAGTTAATTATATCTATTATTTATTAAAGTTATAAAATTGTACGCAAAAAGAACACCCTCGGGTATCAAAATTAAAACAAAGTTTTTGGTATTAGGTACAAAGTGGGTGTATTTTTGTCTAAAGTTACATGTATATAACTTTGAGTTTCCATATAGTAATTGATCAAATTCTTTATCTTTGCTTTAAAAAGGCAATTCCAGGTTTGTTTACTTTTTAAAATCAAACGAATCTCAAAGGTGCTGACCACAGGAGAAAAAAAAACACCTGAAAACTCTACAATTCAAAATAAATAAAAAAAGTCATGAAGGAAAATATTACCTGGACCGACTTTTGTATTGGTTTTCTGCATGAAGCAAAATGACACATGGTGTAGGTTCCCTGATATTTCAAAAATTGAAAAATTTAGTTTTTCAAAAAGTATTTTCTTGGTATCTTGCCAATGTAACTTCAACTTACAGGTACATTTGTAATATGGACAAGAATATTTTTTTCTTTTTTTTGCTCAAGTAAAAAGTATTATTTGATAAAAGAATAAGAGCGAAATATGTAGATTTAATTTAGAATTTAAATCAAAATATATATATTTTTTTGTTATACAATTATGAACCATTATAGTCATCTTAGTAACACATGATAAATGAAATGTATTTGTTTTAAAATACTCTTTTTTTTTTTACTTGAATGCATTTCATAATACATGATGGTTTTGATATGAAATATTTTCTTGGTTTGATTTGCAAAAATGCATATAGAATTAAGGTAACAAAAAGAAAGAAAGTATAAAGTTTCATTCAATAGTTCATGAATTGTATTTATTTCTTTTTATAATTTTTTTATTTTTTTTTTTAATCAACGTTACTTTAAAATACAAGTATATACGTGTACTATTAAGAAATAATTTACTTTCATTTTTTTTTTCTTATCTAATCAAAGTTTGTGTGCTCAATGTATAAATATATAATTATATACTTACATAAATTCTTGTAAAAAATAAATAGACTCATATACATATATATATACATATATATAATTATTACATATATTCATATATATTAGAAATGTTTTGTGTGTGAAAAATGAAGTGTGCTAAAAATGTGATAATGTTGGAAAACTAATTTTCACCATTGTTCACAATTCTTATTTAACTCCCATGTTTATACTATTTGCGTACTAGATACTGCAAATTACTAAATTAATAAAATATGTATATTTTTTCTTCATAGAGTGCACAATCATTTAGGTGAAACGGGTTTTTATAGTTTTGTGGGTGTGAAATATTTAGTCATAGATTAGGTATAGGTGACCAGGCATTGGGATATGAATTTAAAAGATGTACTCTTTGGGTTTATTGACAATAGGTCACTTAGCAAGTATTGACACGGTCACTTAGCAAGTATTGACACGGTCACTTAGAAAGTATTGACACATATGTGCTAAATAAATTATTGTTGTACATGTTATATTTTACTAGAACTCAGTAAATATAAGACTTTATGGATATGAATCATGTATTTTTCTTTTCAATATTATAGTTAGACAAAAGTGTGAGCCCAGCCAAGATGGCTTATGAGTCAATTTAAAATGAATTTTGCATGTTGGTTAACAAAACTGGCAATGAATATTCAGTGATTTACTTTAATTTTGATTTTCATCTTAACATACAATGTATAATTCAGCTTACTTGAATCTTGCTTTGTTTTATCAAAAAACAAGGATTGCTGGCCCTGTAATACTAAAATCATCCTGGTCACAAACATTTGATGGAATTTAGAAAAAAAAAACAAAACAAAAAATACACACAACTTTATGTAGCAAGAAGATAATCACGTAGTTAAGTGTTTGACTTGGGCCTTACAACAGGTAGTAGGTTCTACTCGAGTGCCTGTTTGTGCCTAAAATAATCATGAACGCACAGAGGGTCACTTGAGGTCTTCCTACACCATTAAAGCCGGAAAATCGCCATATGACCTATAATGTGTTAGTGCAACAATAAACCCAACAAAAAAAAAAGTGTTTGAATTTAAACATTTTTTAAGCATTATTTAACTTCAGTATTTATCAAATGTTTTCTTTGTACATTATTATAAAAAAATAAAAAAAATATAGAAACAATTTTTTTGTGCTGCACTTAAGTTTTCATCAATTTTTCATTAGTTATTATCAATGCCAGTTTTTGGAAACGGCGGATACTAGAAATGCACATTAATATATTAGGAAAAGAAATCCAAATATAATATTATATATTAATATCTATGATATTATAATATAGAGCTATATCATTTTCTCATGAATTTGTTTAATATAATTTTCATATTCTGATCAAATAGATATACCAAAGTAACCAACTTGAAAGAAAGATGTTTGTAAATTGATATCTAATAAATAGAAGGGCACATGTGCGATATCATTACTAAAATTAGCAATTTGGGAAAAAAGAAATCATTTCTTTTTTTCCTTATATTATACAATCATGTGTGTTGAATAATAATGGAATATTTTCAAGATTAAAACATGGAAATGTGATTGTTTTGTTCAATTTTTTTCCAGCCAAAGACCAGTCTGTTTTCAGTTTGACTAACGTAAAATTTACAGGGAGGACTGAATATAAGAAGAGTTTTCGTTGGTCAGCTTAAAATTACAAAATGAAATCTGGGAATCTCATTGGCCATTCTAAATGTAAAGGATAGTTCTAGTCATTCTAAGATACATGTAGTTCTAAACATTATCGCAGAATTTTTCCAAACCACTGACCATGCTGAATAAACATTGCCTACTGCATTAGTAACATAGTAGATTATGCATGGAAGTAAAAAACGCTTTACTGACGATTTTGTCAACTTTCTTGAATATTGAGGACGGCAATTATGGATTTACACATACCTAACTAAAGCAGTATTTACCGTAAACATGAAATTTTATTTTACCATCTGGCTTTAACAGAGGTTATTGGTTTAACTATATACCCCTTTACCCATAAAATACTGGTTTACCATGAACAGTGAAACTAGAAAAAAAGGATAAGAACATAGATTAACAAGGCATGGGTAACAATCATAGAACTCAGCCACCCAAAAATCAAGCCACACCAGCAGGACACGCAGAAGGCACCAAACCAAAAACAGAAGAAAACACAAGGGCGATGTCAGGAAGATAGAAACATGTAATAAGTGGAAAATAAGAACTAATAGGGGCTGACAGGGGATTTAAAAGGACAAGGGGAGAATGTAATGATTATCCATCCATTTTCCATTAATGTCAAACCCCTCGAGGGGATGTAGACATGTCTGCATGTAAAATATACATAACCTTTACAGTGATAATGCCGACTTAAAACCTTCAGGGAGAAATATCTGAAAGGTGAAATTGCAGATAACTGAATCAAAATTATTTGCTTTCTTATTGCTTAGTAAATAGGAATAATTCTCATGACATTTAACTTGTTCATGCAGGAATAGTTTATACAGTTTTAGTCCAGGCTTTTACTCCGTTTCTGAAAAAAATGCATTACAGGGGATCTGGGAGTCTTTCACTTAATGTAGCCCAAATGATTTTATTTGACCAAAACAGTCTTTTTATATTTTAAACCGACCAAAGAATTTGTCACAAAATGTTTATTTATAATAGAAGAAAAAACCTTTCTTCACATAAATGGTTTGATCTGAATAAGAAGTACAGTGAAACATGCGAATAAAGACTACCCAAGGAAGATTGAATCATGGTCTTTATAGACAGGTGGTCTTAATATAGAGGTTACCTTATTCCATTTTATCAATGATGGGTTATCAAAAAGTGGTCTTTATTTGCAGGGTTATCTTTATTCAGAGGTGGTCTTTAACACAGACTTGACTGTATTCCCTGTGAAAAGGTCAACATTGTACTGCACACTGTATGCCAACCTGCTGCATTTGAGCCCTGTCATGACAAAACCAACATAGTGGGTTTGCGACCAGCATGGATCCAGACCAGCTTGCGCCTCTGCACAGTCTGATCAGGATCCATGCTGTTCGCTATCAGTTTCTCTACTTGTAAAAGGGTTGGTAAGCGAACAGCAAGGATCCTGATCAGACTGCGCGGATGCGCAGGCTGGTCTGGATCCATGCTGGTCGCAAACCCATTATGTTGGTTATGTCGTGACGCGGCTAATTTTACTTCCAATTCTAATGGATGTCTAAAACTTATTCAAACAATGTCTACTGTTTCTTGATTTATTTCAACATAAAAAAGTGATTCAAAAACATTTTTAAATATCTCATTATGAAATCACTTTGAAAGAAACAGATAAACATGTACTGGAAGATACAAACACTCTTAACTTGTTCACTGAACTGTGTCAGCACTGCTTGATTCTTTAAAGCTGCATTTTATGAATTTCATAAATAAAAAAAAAAAAAAAACAGAAAAAGAAGTTCCTACAGATAGAAGAGCAGGAATATTTTTCTAAACTTAACAGCATATTCACTCATTATATCTTATTTTATTTATGAAATACTCTATTAAGAACAGTAGGTATAATGCATTGTGAAGAAGTTTTGTTTGCTCATCAGGATAAGATGGAAAATACCACATTTCCTGAGTAACAGATAACAACTTTAATTTTTTGAAAGTTTAAAAATGCAACATTTTGATTGCCTGTGTCCAAACACAAACTAATAATAGCTTTCATTAGCATGTTAAAATCCATGTGTTATTATGGGGTTGTCCTTTTAAAATCATAATTTTTGAGAAAATTTTGATCAAAGGTAACCAATCTATAAGAATGCTTAGTTGAAGGCTGATGGCAAAATATTTTTATACTTATAAAATGCAGCTTTAATATAACCTAATTATATTCAACAGGTGTCATATTATAATAACACATATGAAATCGCAAAAGTCAAAAGAATCACAAAAATGATTCATGTTGGTCCCAAATCAAACAGCAATACATATCAGTAAATCCAGTTTAAACATTATCAGAAAGTCATACAGAATAATGACCTCCTCACTATTTTTCTACTGTTAATTTCGCGTAGGCCCTTACTGTTAATTCAAGTGTACCATGTGACTAAAAATACTGTAGTGTTATATATGTAACACTTCTTTTTCAAAGTAAAAAATCTGAAAAATAAAATAGAAACAGTGTCCAAATGAAGTATTTGTCCAGCATAATGAGATAAATAACACATAGGTTTGTTAGTAACAGTAAAAATATTATCCCTTGTGTAAAAATAGTTTTACCCTTGGCTAACAGTATATTCCTCAGGAATATTTTTACTATTATAAACCTATCTGTTATTTATATAATATTCTGTACATATTAAAAATATTTGTATCCTACTTTTCTAATGCTTCTTAAGTACTTTCTAATGTGAGATTATTATCCAACAAAACAAATCATCAGTCTTACAAATAACTCATAGATTCATCATAAAACATTAATTTGACCTCAAAACTCAACACCATCAATATTTAACAAAGTTCATTGTCTTTTCTGTTCTGAATCAGCTACCCGTTGAGGTTATTATATGATTTATCGTCTTGAAAATGGCAGACTGTATCTGTACATTATCAGTTTTTATCATCTCAATGACAGACTGGGCCTATACAATATCAATATTTACAGCCTAGGTAATCTGTCAGATAGAAAATAGAAGGGAGAAGGCTTTATATCCAAAGTTTGTACACAAGTCTATCTTAGGACTGCTCCCTGCTGCACACAGTACCTGCAATTTGAATAATAGAACAAAATAATTTCTAGAATTTCTACACGTTTAGTTAATTTAAAGGCCTATTAAGCCCCAGAAATGTTGTTCTTTTCAGTCCTCAAAAACAGCACAATAGACCAACAAAGAAAAATCTATATGCCCCAACCCAAATGTAGGGGCATAAAAACAACAATGAAAAAAAAGATTTTTAAACGAGAAACTTTACTTTTCAAGACATTTCAGACCTGTATGGATGAATATTTCTGTTTTGAATAATTTGTGATAACCGTTCTTGAAGAAATTTTTGTTTTGGACTTTAAATGATAATCATTTAAGGTATAAAATAGCTTAGAGTACAATCTCATTTTTTTATATTCATTGATTTTGTTTTCTTTAAAGGCACACTATGCCCCAGAAATGGTTCTGTTTTTATTCCCCGAAAGCTTTTTATTTTTGGTCCTCTGTTATGATTTCCAAAAGTTTATTAATTGACCAATCATCTAATGCATCTATTCTGTTGCCTTTTGGCAATAAGTAAAGTTAAAGTGATTTAGTATTTTGTATGCAAGTCATAATACTATTTTGTTTACATTTTGCTACTTTTATATTATAACAAGTAATATCACTTTCACCACTACATTTTGGGGATGTTAAAGCATCTCACATGCTCTGAAACTATTTATTAAATGTTGTAAAGATTCATGTGTGCCCTTTCTAAAGATGGGAAAAACGTATTGGTTCATGAGACAAACTGTGCCTTTAAGTATTAAATTGATGAATTAGAAGGGAGTTATTGTAAATACCTTGTTTGTTGGAGAATGTGTGTTGATTTTAATGTCAAACACAGTACTAGCTGAACATGGCACTTTAGACTTCACATCTCCATTTACAAACCAATGGTTTACACAAGCTTCACTGCCACCTGAGATTACCTGTAAATATATAATTAACAACCTTCAGTTAATATTATCAACCTTCAGTTACATATAATCAATTTTAGATACATATATTCAGCCTTCAGTTGCATATAATCAATTTTAGTTACATATATTCAGCCTTCAGTTGCATATAATCAACCTTCAGTCACATAATCAACCTTCACTTTCAACCTTTAATTACATATAATAAACCTTCAGGTACATATAATAAATCTTCAGTTATATATAATTAACCTTCTGTTACATATAATCAGCCTTCAGTTACATACAATCAGCCTTCAGTTACATATTATCAACCTTCAGTTACATATAATCAATTTTAGTTACATATATTCAGCCTTCAGTTACATATTATCAACCTTCAGTTACATATAATCAATTTTAGTTACATATATTCAGCCTTCAGTTGCATATAATCAACTTTCAGTCACATAATCAACCTTCACTTTCAACCTTTAATTACATATAATAAACCTTCAGGTACATATAATGAATCTTCAGTTATATATAATTAACCTTCTGTTACATATAATCAGCCTTCAGTTACATATAATCAGCCTTCAGTTACATATAATCAGCCTTTCGTTACATATAACCAGCTTTCAGTTACATATAATCAGCTTTCAGTTACATATATTATAATCAACCTTCAGTTACATATAATCAGCTTTCAGTTACATATAATCAACATTCAGTTACATATAATCAACCTTCAGTTACATATAATCAACCTTCAGTTACATATAATCAACATTCAGTTACATATAATCAGCTTTCAGTTACATATAATCAACATTCAGTTACATATAATCAACATTCAGTTACATATAATCAGCTTTCAGTTACATATAATCAACATTCAGTTACATATAATCAGCTTTCAGTTACATATAATCAGCTTTCAGTTACATATAATCAACCTTCGGTTACATATAATCAGCTTTCAGTTACATATAATCAACATTCAGTTACATATAATCAACCTTCAGTTACATATAATCAACATTCAGTTACATATAATCAACATTCAGTTATATATACTCAGCTTTCAGTTACATATAATCAACATTCAGTTACATATAATCAACCTTCAGTTATGCTAGTATATGAGCAGGTATAAAGCTATATACATGTATATCTATTGAAAAAAATTTGGTTTAACTCCAAGAATATTGCTTTCATAATTATGCCCCTTATCTAACAACTGCACGTTGTCACGATAAGCAAGGATTTTAAGTTTCATGTTGAAAACTTTTGAATAATGGGCTGATTAAAGTTTTTGCACAACAATGACAGCGACAACAATGCAGCAATCATAAAGGCTTGACTTTTTCTTGGAAACAGATGGGCTGAAACTTTCATATGTCTAGGCTAATTAAGTGAAGAAAAATGTTATTCATATGATATGTACTTACTGTATCATCATAAAAGGTAACAAAATTGTGTGTAGCCCCTGGGGTGTTGAACACAGATACTGGGGCCAGGGATCTCAGGTGCCATGATGATAAATGTGGAGCCCCTCCGCACACCTGTAACACAAAAATCATACCAATGGTCATTCTAAATATACTCACTTCTAATACTGACATACAGTTAAGACTGTTTAAAAACCTTTTTTTTTTGTTACAATGTTATAAGAACTCAACATGATGATAAAATTTGAAGAAATTTTTTTTTGCTTGTGCACTTGCAGGCCTTCTTAGCAGCATGGAAATGATAACTCAGAGAAAAATAGTGTCACAGTTTTAAACAAATTAGGGGCAAAAATGTCTGAGAGGCCTGATAGCTCAGTTGGTAGAGGTGCAATACAGCATTCCAAAGGTTTAGAGTAAAAATATTGGTAGGCTGCACATTTTTTTCACTTGTCAATTGGAATTACTTCTATAGAAAACTAGCAAAGAAAAAAAAACTTGGAAAATATAGAAAAAGCTTTAAGCAACACATGCTGTAGTGATCTGGTATGACACCACTAAATCTTGGGAAAAAATCAACATATAATTATTGACTAAGAAAAATTGGGACAGTGAAAAGCATACACATGTTAAGAGTCTGTTTTCTTGTCATTCTATATAGTTAGGCTATTTTATGGTAACTGATGAAATTGTTGCATGATGAAAAATAACAAACCTACGATGTGCACTGCTTTCAATTTTTAAATTCTTTCTTTGTATATCATACTTAGATCTTTAAATTATTTCCTATCCAATAGAATCTAAACAAAATTAAACACAAAGATTTAAAATTACAGCTGTATCTTTAAATGGGAAATAATTTTATAAAGAATTCCACTGACCAACCAGTCTTCGTTGTTATCACAATCTACACAAGCCACCCACTTGCCGAGATCTGATCGTGCCGTAAGTTCTTGTTTATTTGGTTCTAGAACATGTACAGCTTCCCCTCCAACACGACAATCTGTCATAAAAAACAACAACAAATATTTAAACCATAGATTATTGAAAGCTTACAACCCTAAATATATTAGATTCTTTTTCTTGCATTTTACTTATACAGTCCAACCCTGTTTATTCAAAGTACCTGGGACTGATAGGTTCGAATAAACGAACTCAAAATATTGTGATAGACAACAAGAGGGCCATGATGGCCCTGAAGTCGCTCACCTGTATATAGGCCCCCGAAGCGGGGCCAGTTTAAACCCTAGGGCTTTTATTTGAACAAACTTGGTAGACACCCATTAGAAGATGTTTCATGCTAAACATCTAAGGTCTAGCTGGTCAACTTTTTTCTTTACACATATAGTTAAAAACCAAGACACACCTTGGGCAGGGCTAGTTTTGACCCAAGGGCTTTTATTTGAACAATCTTTGTAGACACTTACTAGAAAATGTTTCATGCTTAATATCTAAACTCTAGCTATTCGGGTTTTTTCAAAGAAGATTTTTAAGTTTTTGCTATACACATATAAGGAAAATCAATGTCACAGGGGCAGGGCCAATTTTGACCCCAGGGCTTTTATTTGAACAAACTTTGTAGACACTCACTAGAAGATGCTTCGTGCTTAATATCTAAACTCTAGCTATTTGAGTTTTTTCAAAGAAGATTTTTTAAGTTTTTGTTATACACATATAAGGAAAATGAATGACCCCCGGAGCGGGGCCAATTTTGACCCCAGGGCTTTATTACAACAAACTTGGTAGACACTCACTAGAAGATGTTTCAAGCTTAGTATCTAAACTCTAGCTATTTGTTTTTTCAAAGAAGATTTTTTAAGTTTATGCTATACACATATAAGAATAATCAATGACCCCCGGGGCAGGGCCAATTTTGACCCCAGGGCTTTTATTTGAACAAACTTGGTAGACACCCATTAGAGGATGTTTCATGCTAAATATCTTAGCTCTAGGTATTTGGGTTCTTTAAAAGAAGATTTTTTAAGTTTTTACTATATGCATATTGGGAAAATCAATGACCCCCGGGGCCGGGCCAATTTTGACCACAGGGCTTTTATTTGAACAAACTTGGTAGACACCCATTAGAGGATGTTTCATGCTAAATATCTTAGCTCTAGCTCTTTGGGTTCTTTACAAGAAGATTTTTTAAGGTTTTACTGTATGCATATAGGGAAAATCAATGACCCCTGGGGCGGGGCCAATTTTGACCCCAGGGCTTTTATTTGAACAACCTTGGTAGACACCCATTAGAGGATGTTTCATGCTAAATATCTTAGCTCTAGCTCTTTGTGTTCTTTAAAAGAAGATTTTTTAAGTTTTTACTATATGCATATAGGGAAAATCAATGACCCCTGGGCGGGCCAATTTTGACCACAGGGCTTTTATTTGAACAAAACTTGGTAGACACCCATTAGAGGATGTTTCATGCTAAATATCTTAGCTCTAGGTCTTTGGGTTCTTTACAAGAAGATTTTTTAAGGTTTTACTATATGCATATAGGGAAAATCAATGACCCCCTGGGGCGGGCCAATTTTGACCCTAGGGCTTTTATTTGAACAAACTTGGTAGACACTCACTAGAAGATGTTTCATGCCAAATATCTAAGCTCTAGCTCTTTGGATTTTTTAGAAGAAGATATTTAAAGTTTTTTCTTTTGGTTGCCATGGCAACCAGAGTTCTGCATGGAATTAAATTCTTTGAACAATTTTCAAAGGTGACCACCAAAGGAACATTCATGTGAAGTTTGGATGAAATTGGCTTAGTAGTTTATGAGGAGATGTCATTTAAAGTAAAAGTTTACGGACGATGGACGGACGGACGCCGGACGAAAAGCGATCACAAAAGCTCACCCTGTCACTTTGTGACAGGTGAGCTAAAAACTACTCCACTTTGACCAATCATAGCAAAACTACTGTTTACAACACTTACTTATCTCTGGTCATATCTTGTTAAATGGTCAACCTAACCGGCTCTCGTGGCCAAAATCAACACATTATAAATAACTAATTGCTACCAGTATGCTGTCAGCTAGATTTCTAGACAAAAAACCATGTTGTATCTCTAAGAATGTGTGAGACTTAGGACAGTGATAAAATAAATTATACACAAACCTGTGTGAAAGACCACCTTTGAATAAAGATAACCCTGCAAAAAAAAGCCACTTTACTATAACCCTTCATTGATAAAATGAAATTGTGTAACCTCAAAATAAAGACAAACTGCCTACAAAAATCATAATTTGCTTCTTCCTTGGGTGGCCTTTATTCACTGGTTTATCTGTAAAATGACAAGATAAACAATTCAGATGAATAAAGGGAAATTACTCTTACCCCATATTCTCACTGTGCCATCTTCGGAAGCAGACGCACATTCTCTACTGGAATTTTTTGTACACACACAATGTACATAATCTTTGTGCCCACTGAAGGATTGCTAGATATAAATATAGGGTTAAATTCAATAATCATAATATCTTTACATAAGATAAATCATATCCCTTAAAAATAATTATTTTTCTACATATATGGCAAGCTGATTGTATTTATTGATCATGACCATGATTCATAATATATATATATATATATATATATAGCAAAACCTCTGGATACAATTTTTTTTCTTTTCAAGTTTGTTGTAATTCTTTGTTCTGTAAAAATTACAAAAATTTCCACAAAATTCATTTCTTAATTTCAAAAAATATTTACAATTTTACATCCAGGTTACTGAATTTATATGAGAAGAAAAACAAGAGCAACATGTTAATAATTTAGAGATATTCTGTAAAAGTAAATGGTGTGTCAAATACCAAGGGAGGTAACATCTTATCTGACAAGTATTTGGTATACTCACAGTTAGCTCCCCTGTCTCAATATCCCATGCATAAACATTGTTATCCCCACATCCAGCGTACAGGTAAGTACCGGACTCTTGTTTATCTAACACAATAGAGTTGATCTCTGGGTTTGTAAACACCTGGCTGGAATGACAATAGACATTTAACCCCTTGAGTGGTTGTAGAATATTAAACATGTATGTCACAGTATTGAACTGTTCATTTAGGAAAGATAGTGTGTAAGCGGCCAGATAGCTGAGTCAGTACAGTTGCAGTACAGTACTGTATTCCAAGGGTCCTGGGTTTGAGTCCCAGTCAGGCTGCACATTTGTCTCCCCCTGTGACAACTATATGTGCAGTATGACCAGATTCAATACTGTTGGCTGCTAAACATGAGCTTATACAGAATTTTTTTGTTGTTCAAAAGTGTCAATTGTAAATTCAATCTGTCATAGAATAACATAAAACTATGTTTAGACTGGACAATTAGTCATTTAGTTTGGTAAAAAAAGCGGAAACATTCGCCGATTTCTGTAGACTTGATTACCAGTAATCTGATATTTGGCTGTAACTGTCACAGTATTCTAGCACTAAGTTAATGAATGCAAGGCGGACTCAATTTAAGCTGGCCATTTGTTCCAGAACTTTATGGCATGTATGCCTTGGACCTCAGTGGAGCTCCTCTATCATGCTTTCTTAGTCACTGTTTTAATAATAATTGATACCACTGAACTAAATCAGGCTAAAGTAAATTTGGCAAAACACTTAACCACAAAATTTAAAAGTTTGCGCAGCATGTTTCCTTAAATACTTACTGCTGAGGAACCCTTAGTGTCCAGACAACTTTAGCAGCCTGTAAAATAAAGCAAATTCATTAGATAATTGAATAACATAAAACAATACAGTAATAGATAGCATATTTTTTTTCCACAGCATCTTTTATTTTTAGGAATACATTCACAATTTATGTACTAGAGTTCAACAACATACACCTATTATGCATTTTAAAAACATTGGTGTCAAAATTATTATCAATGTACATGTACAATTGAGGCTAGCCATTACTTACAGGTGATTCTTTTATCTAACATAGGAACAGAAAAAACCCAAAAATACTAACTTTATAAAAACAAAGTTGTATACAGTGTTTTATATATTTAGAAAGGGAATGTTTTAAAGAGTACATGACAATAATAAAGCATATCTTATGGGAAAATACTGCTTGAACAAAAGAGTATATAGTAAATTACAATAGAAGTAATTTTTACTCACTTTATCTATAATCTCTGACCATTTCCATGCACATATATCACCATTACCTGCACTATAAAAATAAAAACATGTGTCTCATATATAACTTTCTTAACAGGATGAATGTGACCAAAACTGGTCGAATATATTTCTACATTTTAAACCCAATGCGATGTATTGTTTTCTTTCTATCTTAATAGTATGTTGTACCAATCTTAACAGATGAAACTTTCAAACCAAGACAAATTTATGTAAAAATATCAATAACATGAAGTTGATTACCATAATGAAGAATTGTACTGAGAAAATCATTTTTAATTAAACTTAAATATCTACACTGATACATTACTTAAAAGATCTGTCCATGAAAGATATTGAATTTGCTGGAAAATGGTCTCTTACAACAAGAAATGCTGTGCTTTTTGTATAAAGATTTTCGAAATAAAGATTTAGCCTTTATTAACTGTTTGCAATATTTGCAATATTTTCTTAGATAAACAGGGGAAGTCCATGACAGAATTATGATTTACACCCACTTATACAAACATGAAGACATGTTTAAAATTTCTACTGAAATACTTTTAAGTGCATGTAGATATAGAACTTGTATGCAAAATCTTAACTCACAATATATATTGTAATCACACAAAGTGGCATAATTCATTACAAATCTATCCAAGAGTTGCAGGTCTTGGATAGTTACCAGCAACTATGATCCTGAAGAAATGTATGAAGTTTCGGGTGATTATCTTAAGTGGTTAATGAAATATGAAGTTGCATGAAAAAATAATTTTACCATCACATTGGGGTGAGTAGGACAGCCCTACTTGTCTTCAAATAGTTGGGCCTTGCAATGACGGACATGACTTGTTTGTCATAATTTATTTTCAGTATAGACTTAAAACTTACCTGATAAGTAATGTTTCTGTTGATATAAGACTGTATATTGCTCCTTCTTCACAAGCTGATAAAACAGATAAGAAAACAGATACATGTATACAGTCCATACTTAAATCTATAAATAGAACCACTTAGTTTACACAGAATTCATTTTAATTTGCTTGTGATGGAAGCTTTTTAAAGCTTACAGACACACTCTTGAATATGTACCTGGAACCAAACAGTACTGAGCAATGAGTGTAAAGTTTCTTTCTCATGGAAACTCTGGCTTGCTGATGGGAACTGATCCAATGCAGCTATGATTCTTCGATTATTTTTTAATAAAACTTATTGTCTTAAAATAGAGTTACTTATAAGGCTAAACAGACAGTAGCTTGTTCACATGTACTTATATCAAATTAAATCATTTGAACAAAACTACAGTTGACTCTCAATAAGTCAAAATCGCTTTACTCAAAATTCCGCCTTAATCGAATAATTTCTAAAGTCCCGTCAAATTTCCTTCTTTATCTTTGTATTTTAACTCCGCTTAGGTCAAATTTTGACTTACCGAGACTCCTGTTTAGTCGAAAAGAAAATTTGGTCCCGTCAATTAAAGTCCAACATATTTTCATCTCAATTAGTCGAAGTGTGAAAATAGGCAACTGATCAAAGGTCGGCTACATCAAGGTGAGATGTTGTCACTCGTGATTTACACGTTTCATAATAATTTTTAATTGCCGGTCATCAAGTATTATTAACACGTCGTAAAAGTGGCTTTATTCCGTTTCAGAACTTAATTGGTTTTAACAGTTAGATAACTAAATCAAAATTTAATTACATTTTAAGAAAGTTGACTCGTGCCGTCTGACGGGTGTTACTCCAATAACAGCCTAGGTATTGATGTGTGTTATCAACGTAAATGACATTTGTATAATTAATGTTCCGTCATATTGCATACATTAATTTGTACTTCCGGTTCACGATAGTTGCTAATTTCGTTTTCGTCCGATGATCAACTAAATCAAATATAATTGTGTGTTTATGTTTTACTATTAATATACATGTATTAAATTTTGAATTATATATTTTTGTTCATTTATAATTTGTTGTTGTAGGTGATTTACCGTCATTTCAATGGTCAAATATTGCAGCATTGCCGCTAACAACAGTAACAAACCTACTTCTTTACACATTCAATCAGGCACATGTATATATATGTACGAATGTCAACGTAATGGCGGTAGTTCCACATTACTCGAATTCCGTTTCTCTCGAAGTAAAATGCCCAGTCCCTTGGATTTCGAGTTACCGAGAGTCAACTGTATGTCGCAATAAAAATAATATGGTCCTAACTGACAATATGTGAATATTTCCAATAACTTAATTAAAACAAACATTTGCAAGGGGATAATTGTAGTTTTAAGATTTTTCTTGACAAAATGTTAGATACATAACATGTGTAAGCACCATTATACTGTCAATACAATTGTTTATGTACATGAACTCAGGCCCCTTGTCCACAAAGAAAAGATCAGGATCAGGTGATCCTGATTTTATTTTCATTGTTTTATAAAACTAAAAGCGATTGTATTATGCTAGAATTAAATGGTACATATTCGAATTGTAAATAATTGCTTATTTGCAAAGAAACCAACCTATTTTGGAATAAAATCAACTAATTACAAAACAAATACAACTAGGAATGTTTCCATAGGACACGGGTGCCCCCACATGCCACTGTTCTGTCAATCTTATGACTCTAGGTCAAATATTTTTTGGACTACATGTGCCACAAGTTGAAAACTAAAAATCTTTTACTAAGTAAAGGGCAAGAACTTTACAAATACTGAATAAATCCACAAGCAAACCCAAAGGTGCATAAGAACACATGCTGACCAACATTCTTGTAAACTTTCAGACCTACAAGTTAAATACTTTTTGAGCTATGCATGAACAAGTTGAAAATTGCAAATTAATACTACTGTAAGTCAAGGGCAATAACTCTATCAAAACTGAAAGATATCCACAAGCAAAGTACCAGTTGCATAGTTTCACAGTGATGTTGATCATTATTCCTGTAAAGTTGGTTGATTCTAACTCAAGCACTCAAGGAACAAATAACAACATAATGAATCGGTTTTTACTATGTCAAGGGAAATAACTCTACAATTACTGGATAAATCCAAAAGCAAAACCCCAGGTGCACAACAACATATGCTGAGCAACCTTCCCGTAAGGTTAAATGACTCTATGTCAAATCCTTATTGAGTTACATGCGACACAAGTTGAAAATTGCAAAAATTTTCTAAGTCAAGGGCAATGACTCTATAAATACTTTATAAATCCACACAAAATATCCAGGTGCACAACTACACATGCTGATCAACATTCCTGTAAAGTTTCATGACTCTAGGTCAAATACTTTTTGAGTTACGTGCAACACAAAAGAGAATGGACGGACGGACAAGGGTAAACCTCAATGCCCGCCACAATAGTGGGGGCACAAAAATAATCAGATCAAAATGAGGATCAATTTTAGGATCAAGATCAAAATTTGGATCAACTGTAAAATGCCCATTTCTTGTAAAAATAACAATAAATTTATTCTAAACTTTCATAAACATGTCATTTTAGGTCCAGTTTCATCAATTTAATATTGAATATTTAATCTATGAGGATAAATAATGGAGAATATTTGAGTTTTTAAATTTGATCCTGATCTTAAATCTTTGTGAACACGGGGCCTGAATATCAAATCTACAAATCCCTGTCCTGTTCCTCACATGGTGAAGTATGGTACACAAAATAAAATTATTAAGAATAATTTTCTAAGTCATGTAAGTTAACAAAAATATTACCTTTAAAACTGTAAATTGGTTTCCTAGTGTCTTCATCAGCATTAGGTGCCAGTGCTGCTACCAAACTGTCAAATTATTTATAAAGTAATCATTAACTTTACCAAATATAACACTTTAGTATTAGTATACTGCCTATTTAGTACTTTGACACTTACATGTTCAAAACTTGATAAATCAACTGCCAAATTTAAAAGTAAATATTTAAAAGGAATTTAATTATTGTCTTTTAGTTGACTGAGCTATGAATTTGTTGCACTTTACCCCAAAAATAGGATAATTATGCATACATGTGAACTCTCCCACTTTTAGGTGGAGACTCCCACTTTCTGCAGCCAAATGTTCAAAGATTTTTCTTAAAATAAGGGGTATTTTCACAAATAAAAGAAATCTCCCTATTTTTGATGTCAGAACTTCCTTCTTTGTTTATTGCAAATTCTAAAATCTCCCTCTTTTTGAAGAAAAATCTCCCACTTGATCATCAAAATAAGTTCACATGTATGAATTATGATGTCAACTTCTATATAAAAGCAAGACCGCTAAATTGAAATTTCAAGATGAATGTCCTGTATAAGCAAAACTGCTTTTTAGCTAGCTAAAATGTTTGCAATGCCATTTTTATACACAGTTGCATTCAAGCATCAAAGAGAATTTGCTAACATGTAAAAAATTAAGCAGAAGGTTTAGGACAACCACATATATGTTCAATTAATAATATTTTAGCCCTATATTTATAGTCTCAGCTAATCATGAAAAGTTCTGAAAATATTGTTTTATTTTCACCTATATACAGCAACATAACCAAAGTTGCATGCAGCTACAAGGTATTTCCCACATGGTGAATAAGACTGACTAAACACAGTTGTATGTAAACATCTTCTCTTAGATAGTAAACTTTCCTGAAAGTACAAATCAAAACAAAAAAGATAAGTACTAGAATTATTCCACCAAATAATTACATCTGTAAATCTTTAAGAAAAACAGAACATTTTTCTCATCTCTGCAAAAACATATGACAACATCTGAAACAATCATCATTTTCCAATTTGCAATTGTTCAGACTATTTTTGGAAAAAAATAAGTTTGTGTTACAAAGGTAAAGGTAGTTTACATATCTAAAAAAGAGCAACTTTATCTGAACCATGAAAAAGTAGAGTGTGAGACCATTTACCATAATTTCAATAATGACATAATGTTTTCAAAATGGCTGACTGATTACCTTTAATGCATGTCTTGCCAATTTAATCTGTTTTTGATTGAATATATTATTATTTCATCAGTTCAGTGTGACATACTACAGAAAACACTTAAACATTACAGATGACAATTTTTTTGTACTGTAAGTTTGTCATTTGATTTCCTTCTTGATTTAAAGCGTTAAGTACTGCAAACTAAGAAGATGATTTGATCATTTCCAAGCTAGGTGCACAGCAAGATGATGAAACTGGACTTTTATTAAACATTACATTTTTAATCAACTCAAGTCTATAGACTACATGTGCATATTTAAAAAGAAATAAAAATCAAATAAAAAAAACAATTTAAAAAACTGTACTGGTCGGGGACCATCAACCGGACACTTTTTGAACATTTTTTCTGACAGATTTCATAATTTCAAACTTAGAGACCTGAACAGCTAGGTTCTTCACCTAACTAACTGGTTTGTTTATTTCTGATTATATTGACACTTAGGCCTGTCGTAGAGGGTATCAAAATTACCTAAATTGTTAACACTACAGTACCATGCGCCTGGACAGATATGTACATTATGTGACTTAATTCAGATAAAAGCTTGGGTGTTTTAATTTTTTATTTTTAACATGAAATACAATATTTCAGTAAAGTTTTGAATATTCTATTGTTTACTCTGCAAATGATTATAGCTGGTATTTGAGGTCAGGTATTGCACTCTTGATGCCCAAATTTTCAACGTCAACATTCTTGAAATAGATATTAAAATATTACCGTCTACGGAAGTTAATAAATTTAATTTATTAAAGAAGAAACATGCATGTTGATAAAAAAGTGGCCGATAGATATAAAACTGCTGAACAAAGAAAAAACTTAAATCATTTTCTGGGCTGTCCAGGTTTGGTGGTTGTCCGGTTTTGATGGTCCCCGACCAGTAAAGATTGCTATATTTTTCAGTAAAATTTTCAGTGTCATATCTAGTTGGGCGCTGCTATTTTCAATGTAACTCAATAATAATTGGTGGGGTATTCCGATAACGGAACAATAACAACTTTTCGACTAAATTATAATCCTACAGGTGTTCCGAGTGAAAACAGATCAAAACATGAAATACCAAATGACACCTTAAGAACGAAAAATTAGAAATAAAAAAAGAAGGATTTTTAACCATTTTTCCCATTCATAGGCTTTGCCTAATTTCATATTATTCTGTTTTATTATAAGGTAAGATGTTAATTATTTCTTAAATTATCATGATGTCTATCAGATCATAAACTGATAAAACTACACTAGACTACAGTAGATCGCGATAGCTCAGCGGTAGAGCGGAGGACTGTAGATCCTTAGGTCACTGGTTCGTATCCGGTTCGCGGGACATCCTTTTTTGTAGGTGGCGCGATAGCTCAGTTGGTTAAACCACTGACTATCACTCCTGAGGTCCCGGGTTCGATCCTGGGTTACACCCTTGGGATTTTTTCAGAGACACTTTCAGTGTTTCCCACCTACATAGAGGTGTACTGGTAAGAAATCCAGGAAATCCTCGCATGTATCAGTGCTATACACTGGGCATGTAAAAGAACCAAGGGGTCTATTCAATAATAGCTAGGGACTGGTTCCCGGATTCCCTTGTATCTTAAAGCTGTTTCTTAAATGTATACAATGTATACCTGCCTGTAACACTCGTAAGAGGGGTTGGCAGTATCCAGAGATAGATAGATAGATAGATAGATCAAAGTTTTACCTGTCGCGAAAATATATGACAAATTAAATTTTCAGAAGTATATTTCAGACTCTTTACTTTTAAATAATGCGGCTATGTTTTTGCTAAATTGTTTCATAAAAAAATTCGTTTCATTAATGAAATTATGATCATTATAATGAGTAAAATGCCATATATATTTGTAACCTGTTCTTTCATTTTTCTTTTGCCGGCGGTTATCTGTAAGAATAGCTACATGTAATTTTTACTAATTTGTATTAGAAAAACATTCTAACGAAAGACAAAATTACACGCGACAACATTTCAATTTGTGCTGAAATAATCAATTTTGCAAGAAAATGGATCAAGAAAATTCTGTGCCGGCATTTGCTGTTACTGCGGCCGTTGGAGCTGTAGTTTTGCTGATTATGCTTTTTTTCACAATGAGCCGAAAAACTACAGAAAATGAAGGTATTTTTTTTATCTTACACTGAATTACTTTCTGTTTCAAATTTCACAATGAATCAAGTTGAGTACTTCCTGTAATTTTGTCTTGGTTGTGATTTTCCCTTGACCCTTGTATCTAAATTCAAGACTATAGATCTAGTTAGTTGTGAAATAAAAAATGTTGCCTAAATAATCTGTTAATGTATTCTGGATTTTTAAGGAATGTCAGACGTTTCACTCCCAAGACGTTTCACTATTGAGACGTTTCACTCCCAAGACGGTTCACACCTAGACGTTTCACTCCCATTTTGTCAATTGTATGGACGTTTCACTCCCAATTTTTAGAGATTTTTACTAGGAAAGTTAACAAATTGTAATTTCATTCATATTAAACAGTGTAAATAGGAAATTTAATTTAATGTTTCATTTTGTTGATTTCAATGGTATCATTTAATTATGGGTTGAGTGATAAGAGGTGTAAATGAAAGACACATTTCTGAAATATCACTTTTATTATCAGTGTAACAACATGAGAAAATTCTATTTATAGTAAATAAAAAAAATAGAATAACATAGAAAGAACAACAAAAACATCTATATTATAAGTATCAGTTTAAATATATTGAAATCATTACCAGTAAAGTAATAAATATCACTCAAATAATAAAAAATATCGATATATTAAATATATTGACTATGTAATGATTATTTTTTGTAAGTCTTAAACAATGAAATGCAAAATATGTGTATAAGGTCTATGTTAGTATATCATAAGTATCAAAATAATTTTGGTATAAAAAGGGAGTGAAACGTCTTCAAGACGTTTCACTCCCATTTGGGAGTGAAACGTCTTGGTGTGAACCGTCTTGGTGTGAACCGTCTCAATAGTGAAACGTCTGTCTACCATTTTTAAGGCTCAAAATCGCGCTTCTTTATCTGTCTTCCTTTTCTGTCATTCTACAAGGATCTAGACAGTTTTGAGGACATACACACAGGGGTCTGGCAATCTCATTAAAATCATATCTCTACTGACGCTCCATTCGCTTCCGCTAGTGAAGAGTAAATTGGAGCATAAAACTATGAGTATAAACTGATTTTAATGAGATTTGGAGTCCGCCAAACTAAATTCTACCCAACTTTTTAATATAATATCAAATACTTGTTCATTAATGATTTATTACAGTGTCTATTCTAGGAATTCAAAAATAGGCGTGATTTTCCCCCCTCTATTTCAAAAAAGGGGGCGATTTTCAAAATCAAGGGGTGCCAATATAAACTGCCAATGTTAAATCGTCTGCATTAAGTTTACACTGAGGCGTTCAACCGATGAAATATTTAAAACGAAAATATTCAATTAAGGCAGCAGAAGTTGTCCTCCCTTAATTTATGAACGAAAACAAATTTTTATAGAACTGTCGCGATTGATTATCAAGGGATTGACAATACAAACAATCAACCTATCTTTTACGTCTAAATCGTAGCCAAGCTAGGATTTCTTGATTATTTACTACACTAAAATGGCGCCCAACTGTCAGACCTAGCACACTAGTTCCGGTAGGTACGAAACATTCCGTTAATTTCCGTCAACTCACGTAACCAGTACCATAATGTACTAAATTATTATAATTAGCTTACAGTTACCTCCCTTCAGTTTCCGGTGTAAATGTAAACAAAACAACCAAATAAAATGCGAGATGGAATTATGCTTGCTAGGGATCACTTTTTTTCCAGAATTTTTTACGATTTTATTAACTTTTTTTAGATGCGCGATTTTCACTCACATGATTTTGAATTGTGCGCAATCTTTGAAATATTAGCGTGAATCTCGCAATCGCGCGTCCTAGAATAGACACTGTTATTAGTATAACCAATTGTTAACTTGTTACTGAAATAAAATATGATTTAATTTCTGTAGAGAAAGAGGAAGACAAGAATGATTCAAAACCTGCCAACAAGCAAGAAAAACAGGCCAATAAAAAGGTTAAGCCAGCTGGAAAAACCAAGGTGAAATCTCAGCAGTCTACATTCGCTCATAAATGGTTGGCAAGTTCACTTAAAGGACACGGTGCAAGGATATTAGATATGGACTTTAGCCCTAATGGAAAATATGTGATCACGGTTGCAGAAGGTATGTTTAGGCCTGCTAGTTATAAGACTTCCATACAATGAAGAAGTAGCATGTACAACACATTATAGAATTAAAACGGTATATAAAATTAAAATGGTGTACATAATGGAATGTGCTGGAAAAAATGCATAAAGGAACTGTGTTTAGTGAAACAGTTAGCAATTGACATATATAGAAATGAAGTAACTTGTATGATTGTAAAATTTAACTGCAGTAATGAAATGCATTTCTGTTTGGTTTTTTACCACCAGTACTGTAATAGTTTGAATTTAAGTAAATAATGTACATAACATAAATTCTACTGCATTATATAATACAAGACATAGTGATACAAATGTAATTATAGCCTTACAAATATGAATTCATACATGAATGTGTTTGACAGAAAAATAGAGGATATTGAATGAGTGTACAATGTAGTTTAATACTAAATTTATTGAACAAGTTGAATAAAACCATGGCGAGCATAATATTGTTCTATTCAACAAGTTTAATAAATTTAGTATTGAGTCTAGATAAATGTTATATTCTATTTATCACATATATAAAAAAAGAACAGTTAACTATAAAAATGAGTAATTTTTCAATAACGCTAACATTAGTGTGCTTTAACGCTTTGTTTTTATATAGAGCAAATGACGTCACATCAAAATGTTAAGCGCTATTACACTAGTGTAATATCATTTTCATTAAATGGCTTTATTACACTCCTGCGCTGTGGTTAATGTGATAAAAGAATTTATCTACCAAATGAACCAGCCTAATTATTATGCCCCCATTTCGAAGAAAAGGGGGTATATTGCTTTGCACTTGTCGGTCCGTCGGTCCGTTGGTCCGTCGGTCCGTTGGTCCGTCGGTCCGTAGACCAAATGGTTTCCGAGTGATAACTAAAGAACCCTTAGGCCTAGGAACTTCAAACTTGGTATGGTGATTGGTCATGACCAGTAGATGACCCCTATTGATTTTGGGGTCAAGGGGTCAAAGGTCAAGGTCACATTGACCTTGTAAGCAAAAACGGTTTCCGATCAATAACTAAAGACCTTTAAGGCTTAGGAACTTCAAACTTGGTATGGTGATTGGTCATGATCAGTAGATGACCCCTATTGATTTTGGGGTCAAGGGGTCAAAGGTCAAGGTCACATTGACCTTGTAAGCAATAATGGTTTCCGATCAATAACTAAAGAACTTTAAGGCCTAGGAACTTCAAACTTGGTATGGTGATTGGTCATGATCAGTAGATGACCCCTATTGATTTTAGGGTCAAGGGGTCAAAGGCCAAGGTCACATTGACCTCTTGGGTAAAAACGGTTTCTGATCAATAACAAAAGAACCCTTAGGCCTAGGAACTTCAAACTTGGTATGGTGATTGGAATGACCAGCAGAAAAACCCCTATTGATTTTGGGATTAATGGGTCAAAGGTCAAGGTCACATTGACCTTGTAGGTAAAAACGATTTCCGATCAATAACGAAAGAACCCTTAGGCCTAGGAACTTCAAACTTGGTATGGTGATTGGTCATGACCAGCAGATGACCCCTATTGATTTTGGGGTTAAGGGGTCAAAGGTCAAGGTCACATTGACTTTGTAGGTAAAAACGGTTTCCGATCAATAACTAAAGAACCCTTATGCCTAGGAACTTCAAACTTGGTATGGTGATTAGTCATGACCAGCAGATGACCCCTATTGATTTTGGGGTTAAGGGGTCAAAGGTCAAGGTCACATTGACCTTGTAGGTAAAAACGGTTTCCGATCAATAACGAAAGAACCCTTAGGCCTAGGGACTTCAAACTTGATATGGTGATTGGTCATGATCAGTAGATGACCCCTATTGACTTTGGGGTCAATGGGTCAAAGGTCAAGGTCACATTGACCTCTTAATAAAAAGCGGTTTCCGATCAATAACTAAAGAACCTTTAGGCCTAGGAACTTCAAACTTGGTATGATTATTGGTCATGACCAGTAGATGACCCCTATTGATTTTGGGGTTAAGGGGTCAAAGGACAAGGTCACATTGACCTTGTAGGTAAAAATGCTTTCAAATCAATAACTTAAGAACCCTTTGGCCTAGGAACTTCAAACATGGTATGGTGATTGGTCATGACCAGCAGATGACCTATTGATTTTGGGGTCAAGGGGTCAAAGGTCAAGGTCACATTGACCTTGTATGTTAAAACGGTTTCCGATCAATTAACTAAAAACGCTTAGGCCTAGGAACTTCAAACTTTGTATGATGATTGGTCGTGACCAGCAGATGACCCCTATTGAGTTTTGGGTCAAGGGGTCAAAGGTTAAGGTCATGACCAGCAGATACTTGATAACCCTTATTAATTGTTTGATCACTGGGTCAGAAGTCATAATAACCTTATCACATGACTAATTGGCTGCTGATAGGGGGCATACATGTTTTACAAACATATCTTGTTACTTATAATGGTGTAACAATGACAGACATATTGCACTGTTCATTTATTTTGTTCTCAGATCGTTCAATATTAATGTGGTCTACAAAAGAATTTGAGCAGAAAGAGCACAAGTAAGTCTTCCTCCTACTTCTTTTAAAATTCTTTAATTTCTCTTATTAATATATTTTTGTTACATTATTTATATAACAGCCTTAAAACTTAGAATCCTGAACCTTGTGTTAATTATGCATCCCTCACCAATTACATGTACTTTCAATAGCAGTAAACTCTGTCTAAATGTGTTGATCATAATTGCTATTAAGCATCCCTAACCAGTTACTTTCAATAGCAGTAAACTCTGCCTTAATGTATTGATCATAATTGCTATGTAAGTGTCTTGGTACATTTGTGCAGTGTACATACTGATAACTCTATTTGAAATTTCTTACATATTTTGTATGGAGCAGGTACTTGAAAAGTAGTTGAAAAATGAATTTCTATTAAAATAAATGGTTAACCTAAACTGATTAATCATTGAAAACAACTTAACAGTTATACATTATTTTGAACAATTTATATCAAGTACTTATATAAGTCCTTCAATGTCATTTCATTTACATTTTTTGTTCAACCAAATGCAGAAGTTTCAAATCTTGATATACATTTGTAAAATAACATGACGATTTGCTGGCGTTATCAGAAACATATAAATAGTGTTACAGCTAATCAGTTTTATGTAAATTACAGGTCAATTAGAGGAAATGTTGATCTGGACCATGCAACAAGAGTGAAGTTCAGTCCAGATTCAAAGTAAGTTTGTTATACAAGTTTTATGAACTGTTTACCAGTGATGAAAAATTATTTGCTTATGTCAACAGTATAAAATCAGTAACTTGATCAGATCAGGAAAAAATGCATTTTTGAGTACAACTTATATACAAAGAAATTGTCATATTTTGTTATAAAATAAAATAATAATGTAAAATTTAAAATCAATGGAAAAAACTTTTTGGACTCCTTGTTAATTATTGACCGCGGTTACCCGGTATTGAATTTTCTAACCAATTTTTAGCTAAAAACCAACTGTACCTGTTTAAACAGATCAGCATGAAGCCCCTTGTTATGAATGACGCAACTTTTTTAAAAGAAGGTAAACTGATCAAAGCCTGCTGGCTATATTGAAATTTGAAAGGTCCAACTATTTCTTTCTATTACTCTAAACAGCATGGTACTGAAATTTTAATTTCAGCTCCAATCAAACACTGCTGTACACTTGCTCCTTTTATAACTGAAGACCCAGAATTATTCGTCACCTTAGTACAGATACAGAATAAGTCCTTCTTAATTTAATGGGAGTTAATCAGTTATTGCACTAAGGTGATTAAGATAGTTGACTTCAAACCACTTGCCAGTCACCGCAGTGGGTTCGAATCCCGACAGGGACTTTGGATTCTTTCATGTGAGGAAGCTATCCAGCTAGCTTACAGAACGTCGGTGGCTCTACTCAGGTACCCTTTAGTGCCTGAAAAAATGCACAGAGTTGCATCTGAGGTGTTCCTCCACCAGTAAAGCTGGAACGTCGCCAAATGACCTATACTGTGTCGGTGTGATGTAAAACCCAAATCAAACAAACAAAGCACTTAGGTGACAAGGTGTACATGTGTATATACATTGTAATTAGTTAATTTTCTATTTTAGGGCATTTGCAGTTAGTCTTGGGAACGCTAATACAGTTCGGGTATTTAGAATCGGGAAGAAAGATGATGGAAGCCCTGGTAATATTACTGGGGCTATAGATTTTCCTCAGGTAAGTTTATACAATAATATGAATAATATTTTCGAGTTTTTTTTTGGGCTCAACATTCTGAAATAAAAAGTAGGGGCTATTCTACTGATCTTAGCATTGATGTAACTTGTCAGGATCAAAAGAGGCAGTGCCGGAAAATAGAATTTGGAAAATTAAAAATGGATTACAGGAAAAAAGGTCCTTGTTTTAGAGATTTAAAGCAGTGTAATGTAATGGTAGAAACAATCTCATTAAAATCAGATTGTCGTTTTCACTCTGTTACTCTTCGCTACCTTGCAAAAAGTAGTGGGGCCACAGTCTGGATATGATTTTTATAAGTTGAAGAAAAAGACTTATATAATTATTTCTTGATTATCATTCTAGATACAAATATATATAATTCGATTTTATCAAAGTTTATTATTTTTTGTTTACAACAGAAACATAAAGCAGAGATTATTAATGTGGGTATAGCCAGCAATGGTAAATATATCATGACAATCTCATCTGATACAACCATGATAGTCTGGTCTATAAAAGGTATATTATACTTCTCTATATGCTTTATTTATTGTTCATTTTGATGATAATGATAATAAAAGTTGGGATGGTAGAAAGTACTGATTTCTGTAATTTAGTAAGACCTTCAAAGTATATTTGCATTCTGCGGTCTACTTTATTTTCTGTTTTAGATACTTTACAGTCAAAATGCCAGGATTAAGGCATTCCGTTTTGTTAAATTTTAGAAAAAAATATCTGAAATGTTTTGCATTTTTTGTATGGTTTGATTATTTTTGCGATTTTAAAAACTACATTTGTACTTGCTAGTTCACTGTTTATCCCAAACCAAATATTGCACTTTTATTTAAATAGTTTTGTGGTATACACTTTTAGTGAAATGCTTGATGAGATGCTTACAAATGATAAAAGAGAAACAGAAATTTAACTCCTGTATTTCTGGTTTCAGTGTAGATATATTATGACATACTAAATTCAGTGTTATAATTTCATAAATGATTATTTCAGGTGACGTGTTAAATGAGATCAACACTAATCATATGAACAATTCATACGGGGCCGTATCTCCGTGTGGGAGATTTGTTGCTTCCTCAGGTAAAAGTCATTGCTCACTACTGGTTCATTCAAGGAACATATTCGATACTTTGACTATTAGCTTATAGCTTCTTGCATGTTAAACCTCCTTGTGGCTGAGGGAATGCCTTTAATGGTTGAGGCAAAAGAATTCCAGCCACCATTTATCCTGCATTATCCTAAGAGGCATGTAAATGGGGTTAGAATAACTGGAGTCTGTACATCTCTAAGCTCCAGCATGTGAGGTGGTTTTGACCCCTGGTGTTGCTTTGAAGTTTGTAACACCTGAGGTTAGCTAAAATCATGATTCATCTTTCCTGTTTCTGTGCCATATGACCTATTGATTTGAGCAGAAAGTGTTGCAGTGCTTTTCATTTTGGGGCTATTTTGTACAATAAAACTGATTATTCTGGAAAACTGGGTAAGGGAATGAACTGGAAATTTGCACAAAAGTTACTAGTCAAATGGAACATTAATCTCGGAAAAAATATATCCAGTCCCATCATGTTAAAAAAAAAACCTCAGTTTTGTCCATACAATTTAATTTGATGTCAAATATATGAAGTAACACAAGCATTTCTATACTTCTTTCTAAAAGAATCAGAAACATTCTGTGAAAAGACTTAAAAATGAATTTAAAGAATATTTACATGCTATTTTATAGTTCTTCTCAGTAATGAATATACTTCTACTTGTGAATTCCGTCTAAACTTGTATTGATTATAATCAAGTAATTTGTTTTTATGTATATTATATAGGATTTACCCCAGATGTGAAGGTTTGGGAAGTATGCTTTACAAAAACAGGAGATTTCCAAGAAGTGAAACGAGCATTTGAGTTAAAAGGCCACTCCGCTGGTGTTTATTGTTTTGGATTTAATAATGATTCTACCAGGTAAACTGTTGTATAAATTTTGGATTGACATAGTTTTGTCATATGCAAATTGTATCAGGCCATTTGAAATAGTATTTCTAATTTTACAACAAAACATAGAAATCTGATCGGAATATCACATAAAGCATTTTAAACAAACAGGCTTTTTCCTATAATTATTAAGTTTCCACCAAGTAAAAAGAGGCAGGCTGTGTCCAAAGGTATTCCCCACAGTAAAGGGAAAATATGACATCGACATTTTTTTTCACTTAAACTTTTTAGAAAGACAAGAGACATTACAAATTTAGATTTCTAAATTAGAAATATTTGCCAGTAACCAAAATATTTAACAAAACAAAAATGGTGACTTACATTACCTTTATATGAAGTATAATGTCTGTATTATTCAAATTTGCCATTTTCCTCAATTTCTTTGCTACCGACTTTTTTAATAATTTGATTTAAAAATATAAAGGCATGTAAGTCAGCATCATAAATGTATGCAAGACGTTCCATGTTATAAAATGAATTCACCATCTTCCAGTTTGGACGTTATGTAGGAAAATTTCAAAATATGTAGTGATTGAACAGTGAACAGTGCAGACCATGTTCAGGGCAGCACAGACATCCTGGCTGATCTTGGTCTGCACTGGTCACATGGGTAGAATCTGTTTCCACCTGTAGACAAAGGTCTTAATAGATATATAATTTATTTTTTTATCAGAATGGCATCAGCTTCAAAAGATGGTACCTGGAAATACTGGGACACTAACAGTAAGTTTACTGTAATACAATTATTTCAGAACTAATATACACACCTGTTTACAGCTCCTGTTTGTTACAATTTTTCTTGATATTAATTAAAATTTTATCTTACATTAATTAAAATTTTATCTTACATGACTTTTAGCAAAACTAATCAGCACATGTATCAGTATTTATTGTAGAAATTGTAGTCAGTAATTCTGCAGTCTATGCTTAGCTAAATAGGGAAAGCACTAGATTTGTAATCCAAGGGTGGCTTGTTTGTTCCTTAGATGAGGGGAAATATCTCTGTGACATTTGACCTTGAACATTGAGTCTATCTATAACAATTAATCCCGGACATTGTGTGTAATGGTCATTTGTCTCACGTTGCTGATTAAGAAATCATGCAGCCTTAGTAGCCAGTCAGTAGTAGAGAATGTCACCAGTGTTGGTTCGAATCCCCACAGGGACTTTGGATGCTTTCATGTGAGGAAGCTATCCAGCTAGCTTACACAACGTTGGTTGGGTTCTACTCAAGTACCCGTTCATGCTTGAAATAATGCACGGAAGGGCACCTGAGGTTTTCCTCCACCAGTAAAGCTGGAACATCGCCATATGACCTGTGTGACGTAAAACAAACAAATTAGTAGAGAATTTGGTAATTACTGGTTAGTTATCCAGGAAAGTCGGTCAGGAGGATCAACCGCAAAAATATGTTAAAAAAATGTGTGAAAATCATCGTAAAAATAAAATAAAGCAAAAAACAAACAGTTTATCTGCAGTTTGATGAAAAAAGATGAGCTTGTCAAGATGTTATTTCTATTTTAGGTAGTCGTACAATTATTTGTTTGAATTTTCTTAAAAAAGATCCACTTTATCTATATAACCTTCAAATTCAGCATGATATTTTGCTAAGATAATTTTATCTTTTAACTTTCTTTATTTTACAGTACGCTATGATATGAATCAAGATCCATATTTATTATTTACCGGAAAGTTACCGTTATCAGGACCTTGTCTCGTATCATTATCGCCCGACGGTAGAACGGTGGCTATTGCTCAAGAAACGTCTATATATGTGTGTAACTCGTCAGGAAATGATGAAGAACTCATAGAAAATGTTCATTCAGGTAAAAATCATGATTTTAAACTCTTACCATGGGAAATATCCTAAATGAACTTACCAGTCTGTACAAAACAATTCTTCATTTTTATGGAAAATTGATAAAAAAAACTGACTGAAAAGCCAATATTGCAGACCGTGATCAGACAGCACACAGATGTGCCAGCTGATCTTGGTCTGCACTGGTAGTATGGGTAGGTACAGTTGCTGTCAGCACAGTTTCATTTATCAATGCGTGTTCTTCTATAATAGCTCCAGGAACGATGGTTAGTAAACTACCTGCCTATATGACTGAAATACTGTTGGGAAAAGGCGTAAAATGAAACAAACAAACAATCTTCTATAAAAGATGTAATCTGGAAGTTGGCAAATGTGGGTTTTTCCCAGCTAATCCGTACGTAAAAGCAATCTTTTACTGTTATAGCTTCACAGTGCACACAGTGAATCTGTTGAGCTTATTTTTGAAGCTGTACCTGTAAAAGTTTGTTTGTACCTACAGATTAGCTGGGGAAAAACCCAAATTTTCTTAATTCCAGAGTTAGTCTATTATAAATATTCATTTGAACAAATAATCATTTCTGGTTATTAGAAATTATAAATATTTGTGAACTTCTTTATTTGAAATTATTTAACATGTTGTTGTTTTTATTACAGAGCCGTCAGCACAAATTGGTTTTGACAACTCAGGAAAGTATTTGCTTAGTGCAGGGGATAAACATGTTCATGTCTTACATAATATCACAGGTAAATCTATTTACCATTATTATAACCTATTTCACATCATTACGGATTACAAAATTTTAGCCGCGTCATGACAAAACCAACATAGTGCGTTGCGACCAGCATGGATCCAGAACAGCCTGTGCTTCCGCGCAGTCTGATCAGGATCCATGCTGTTCGCTTACAAACCCTATTACAAGTAGAGAAACTAATAGCGAACAGCATGGATCCTGATCAGACTGTGCGGATGCACAGGCTGGTCTGGATCCATGCTGGTCGCAAACCCATTATGTTGGTTTTGTCATGGCGCGGCTCAAGTAATCAAAATATTATTGTTATGGTTGTTCTCTGTTCATTTGAATTTAATTTTATTTAGGAAAATAGATTTTCCAAACACTGTATGAGAATTTTCCACTGTATTAGAATAACTGATGTAAAAGATGTCATTGTTTAAATATAAACTGTCTGCTTAGCACAATAGATTGATTGTTCGACTGTAAATTGGGTGACCTTGATTTGATTCCTGGATGGTGCAGGTTTTGTTGCGATTGATCATGGAATCCTTTAAATGGTCTTTTGCATTGTACCTCTGGCATGTACAGAAGTTATACTTTCCTTTCGAAAGTGTAGGCTCTGGCAAACTGCTTAAAAATCCTGCCAAAAAACGTTTATTGGTAGTCTAGCTAAAATAAAAGCTATTGTAAGTCAAAATGTAATTGTGAATAATATGAAATATTCTTTTTGACACTAAAGTCTTTGTTATTCAGTGGCGTTCATAATAAATTACCTATGCCGCCATTTTAGAGCAAGGCTTTTTTTAGCTCAGCCCTCCAAGAGAGAGCTACTTTGTATTGTACTCACCCAGGGGTCTCTTCACACTTTGGTTAAGTTGGTTATTCAAAACTTCTGAAGGAAATGGCTTGAAACTTTACACACTTGCATGAATGTCCAAGGTCCATTACATGGTTTTTGACAGAAAAATGGCCCTTTTTGAAAATTCTACATTATCCAGGCTCTTGTTTTACTATCAAGCATTGAAAATAGTAGAGCATGCTGTCCTACTAGTAGCATTTATTTAAAATTAAAGTCAATTAAAGTGACATTATGCCCATTCAAGGGTATATAGTGAGTGAACAGGCGAATATCAAAAATTAAGTTACATTTTGCAATAATTCCTTTTAATTTAATAATTTACTTTCCATAAACAATAAACCATAAACAATAAATAATGCACAGATCCAAATAAAATTTCTGTAAATATCTATTAGAATTTACCTCTAACGCTCAGTTAATAAAAAGAGTGGGGCATTCTTTTTATATTTTAGGCAGATTTATAATTTTATCCAGAACGTTTCCAATATCAACTGTTGGTCAAACACCATTTTAACAGTCAATTTTTTATACCCCCGCCATGTAATGGCTGGGGCATATTGTGTTACCCTGTTCCGTCATTCCGTCCTTCTGTCATTCTGTCATTCCGTCATCATCAGTTTCCGTTCATTATCTTAGTAACCGTTGCACACATTCAACTAATATTTGGCATATGGATATGTCATGAGAAAATACAGGTCAAGTTTGAATTTGGTCATGGTTCGATGATTTTTGGCAGAGTTATGCCCCTTTTACTTTGAAAAAGATATGAAATTTTCAGTTTCCGTTCATTATCTCCCCAACGGTACAACACATTCAACTCAAATTTGACATATGAATATGTCATGATAAAATACAGGTCAAGTTCGAATTTGGTCATGGTTCGATGATTTTTGGCAGAGTTATGCCCCTTTTACTTTGAAAATAATATGAAATTTTCAGTTTCCGTTCATTATCTCCCCAACGGTACAACACATTCAACTCAAATTTGACATATGGATATGTCATGATAAAAGACAGGTCAAGTTCGAATTTGGTCATGGTTCGACGATTTTTGGCAGAGTTATGCCCCTTTCACTTTGAAAACAATATGAAATTTTCAGTTTCCGTTCATTATCTCCCCAACGGTACAACACATTCAACTCAATCTTGACATATGGATATGTCAAAGGAATGCGCAGGTCAAGTTGAAATTTGGTCATGGTTCAATGATTTTTGGCAGAGTTATGTCCCTTTCACTTTGAAAATAATATGAAATTTTCAGTTTCTGTTTATTATCTCCCCACCGGTACAACACATTCAACTCAAATTTGACATATGGATATGTTTTTGGAATGCCCAGGCCAAGTTCAAATTTGGTCATGGTTCAATGATTTTTGGCAGAGGAAAGCGCCTTTCACTTTGAAAATAATATGAAATTTACAGTTTCTGTTCATTATCTACCCAACAGTGTTACATATTCAACTTAAATTTAACATATGGATATGTCAAAGGAATGGGCAGGTCAAGTTGAAATTTGGTCATGGTTCAATGATTTTTTGGCAGAGTTATGTCCCTTTCACTTTGAAAATAATATAGATACATCTTAGGAATAAGCAGTTTAAGTTTGAATTTGGTCGTGGTTCAATGATTTTGGACAAACTTATCTTTCTTGAATGTTGGAAAATTTTTGAACTTTCAGTTTCAGCACTCATACTTTTGTGGAAATGTATAATGGCTACAAATATGAAATATGCTATTTTCAAAAGGTTAAGACTGAATAATTTCAGTGCCTTGAACATTGTATGGAAATGGTTTGTGTTAACATTGAAAAGTTTTAAGGGCTTTGAACTTAAAATGAAAAAAATAATTTGTGCAAACAAATTTGGAACTAAATATTATAACATCTGAAATTTTGGCTGCATGCGGGGGCATCCGTGGCATGATGACACATTTCTAGTTTAAATATAAAGTCAATTCATCTCAACTTGACTTGAAAATATGAGCATAATGTCACTTTAAATAATGTTAGTATAAAAAGACTAGAGCTAAACAAGCAGGATTTTCTGAGGGGTACATACTATAATTACTTTATTTCTGTACACAGGTTACAAAGCAACTATAGAAGAGTTGATAGGTTTAGAGAAAAAGGCCAGTGGTCAGGCAATGAAAGAAAGGATTAGGTCTCAAATTAGAGATTCCCAGTATGTATTTGTTGATTTATCTTTATATTTAACCATTAATCTGCTTGAACCAAGTGGTTAGCCTTTGCCACCAGTATAGAGCCAGGCCAGCCTGCACATCCGTAAAGTCTGACCAGGCTCTATACTGTTGGCAGCTCAATATTTGTAATTTGATACTGAAATCCCTTTGATTAGGAATGGACTGTTCCAAATTCAAAGCTGGTTAAATCCATTTCACAAATTCAGTAGGTTAATGTTTAATATAATTTCTTATGAGCATTACTAATTTACTATTGTTAGTTTTTATGTGCTGTTGAATTCAAATCACTTGCTCCTCACAGCTGTGGGTTTAAATCCTGCCAGAGACTTTGGGATTCTTTCATGTAAGTAAGCTACATGTATTCAGCTAGCTTACAGAATGGCGGTGGTTTCTACTCAGGTGCCCACCTGTACATAGAGTAGACATTCAATGCACTACACAGAGAGGTACCCCAAGGTCTTTCTCATCAGGAAAGTGGAAATTCCTTAAATTAACCTTACAGTGCTAGTGTAACTTACAATTTTAAAAATGTAGACATGTCTTGTATAAATTCAACATAATACATATGTATGAAGTGGCCTGTTGGGTTTTATATGTCACTCTTAACATTAGTTTTGAAGAAAATGAATGTTCAATCTGTAACCAGCTTGAACTGAAGGTAATTAATCATTGGCAATGATTGGTAACCATTGGTTACCATTGGCACCAGTTCAGAGCAAGGCCAGAATGCACATTGATGCAGTCTGACCAAGCTTTATAAAGTTGGCTGAATAGGTTAAAGTAACTTTTATAAGTTTTTCATCTTGAAATCCCTAAAATTAACAGTGGACATGAAAGCTGGACAAGTCCATTTAAGAAATTGAGTGGGTTGAGGGTTATGATCTATTTATAGAATTTTGTGTGTAATTTCAGAGCTGCCTTAGATAGAATTCAGGGAGGGACTTCCAACGGCCATGCTACAGTCCAGTAAACTACCAACATTCCCTACAGTGTTCACAATACAATATGATATTCTATATTTAGTAACAGTTATATAGTGTTCCTTATGGAATATGGAAAAAAAACAAAAACTTAACATTTATAGTATATAAAATATTCTTGGTGGATGCAGTTGGAATATGGAAAAAACTGAATATTTATATAAAGTTTTCTTGGTGGAAAGAGTGCATATAAATATATATCGTATATCATACTTACGGTTTGGACTAAATTCATAAACATCATCAGCTTGTAAAACAATAATTGGCTAATTAACAGGTTTTTTATACACAATATACATTGAATGACAAATGTCTTTCCTAGATATTTTTTGTAATCGTAAGCAACAATACTGTTTTTTATATGCCAAGAATGGCTAGGTAATAGGTGTTATCCGGAACTTGGCAAATGTCAGTTTTCCCAGCTAATCTGTAGGTACAAACTAACTTTTACAGTTATAGCTTCACGTCGCACTACCTGTTATCAAAGATTAGTCAACCTGTTTCGCTTATTTTCGAAGCTGTAACTGTAAATGTTTGTTTTGTACCTACGATATTAGCTGGGAAAAACCTGAATATACTTATTTCCTGAGTTAATCTATTTGTACAATATTTAAAGTATAGAGCATTGTTTTATTAAGATGATAATTTCATCCCTTTACAGTATTACCTTTACTGAACCAATGACCAGATAACTATGTGAAATGGACTTGACTTTCACCTATCAGTCTGGGCAAAACCATTTTTAGGCAAAAAATTAAAAAAAAGTACTGTCTAAAAAGCAAACAGTGCAGACCACACGATAAGAGGTTATGTTCATGCTGGCTGATTGTGGTCTGTACTGGGCTCTTTGGTTAATATTTGTTCCCTCCAGGAGGTTTAGAGTTGAAAAAAAAATTGTTAAAGAAAGATTTAAAAAGGTATGACAATCATTGCATTAAGATATAAATTTTTATAGCAAATTGGCAGTTTTGTAGCAAATTTAATTTTTTAGCGACATTGGCAATTTTTAGCAAATAGGCAATTTCATAGAAAATTTAAATTTTTGAAGCAAATTGGCAGTTTTGTAGCAAATTGAAATTTATTTAGCAAATTGGCAATTTTGAACAAATTGTTTTTGTTTTTTTTTTAAAACAAATTGGCAATTTTGTAGAAAATTTGAAATTGATAATTTTGTAGGAAATTGACATTTTTAAAGCAAAATTGCAATGGTAAAGCAAATTGACATTTTAAAAGCAAATTGGCAGTTTTGTAGTAATCTGGCACTTTAAAAGCATTGAAATTTGAAAGCAAATTGGAAATTTTATTTATCTGAAATAACATACTGATTCTCAAAATCTGATTTTGTGATTTGCAAGATTTTTTGTTTTTAAAAATGTTGTTTTATTTCTGTTATTGATTGTATACACTTATATAATCCGAGACGTATACCGTAAACTATGTAAAATGATAACGGAGTGTCACTCTGCCTTTCTGTAAAACAATTCTTTTCCACAAAACAGCTTTAGAAAAACTCCCATCAGTTGTATGGATATTTGCTTTGCAAGTACTTTAAAATCATTTTAATTTGTGTTGAACTTACTTTTGTTGTTTTCATGGATAGACCAATCCACGAATTTAGACCAGACATAATTGCATTACGCTATAATTTTATGTAAGATAAATTTTGTTTTTGCATTTACCTTTTTTTTTGGCAAAAAATAGATAATCCATGAATTAAAAGCCAAATTTATCGTAACAATTACTATATTTTCATAATTGTAATTTTGTTATGGAATTGGTGTCGGTACTTTTGAACAATTTATATTCAGATTCAGTTTCTATTGCAACTATTTGCTGCATTCTGTTAAAGTTTGTCATAGAATTGAATTAGATTCATGCAAACAATGATTTTGCCCTATTGTCCTTTAATTTGGTTTTACTAGGAAGCTATCCATCATACATACAGGGAGGTTACTGTGTTTTACTAAGGCGCTGTCTGTGCCTGACTGTATGGTATGCATAGAATGGCTTGTATCACAAAATGGAAAGTTACCATAAGTTATCACCAAAATAGATTTGGATTATTTTTGGTACTATTGAAGTTAGGTTTGGAAAAGCATATTTTTTTATATAGAAGTATTGTTTTAGTCTATTTTGGATATTGTATTGATAGCATTATATGTTGTTTTGTTAGTTTACTACGTTTTTTTTTATGATTAATTAAGTTGTGTTTGATACACACGTTGTGAGATACACTCCTATACCAAAGTTTCTAGGGGCGTCCGTGGTTGAGTGGTTGGATTTTTTCAGACGAGGAAGCTATCCAGCTAGCTTATGGAACGTCGGTGGTTCTACTCAGGTGTCTGTTTGTGCCTGAAATAATGCACGGAAGGGCACCTGAGATCTTCCTCCACGAGTAAAGCTGGAATGTTGCCATATGACCTATACTGTGTTGATGTGACGTAAAACCCAATCAGTCAAACAAACAAACCAAAGTTTCTGTGATTTATGATCACTAAAAGAAAGGAATTTCATTACATACCAGCTATTTGAAATTAATCCATGATACCAGGCTAAAAGTCTTAAATGGACTTTGTTCATCTTTAAATCTGGAGAAAATTATTAATAATACAAACATGTATTATGATTAATAAACAAATGTTAAATTGTCAACATGTATAATTTAGCTTTATATGCATGCTTATTTTTAAAATCAAAATTGAAAAATTATATAATTTGTAAGATTGCCATTTCTACGATTGCCATTTTCAAGTGTTGAAAAAAAAGAAGGAAAAAAAACACCTATGTACAATACATGTATTTAAATTTCATTTTTCTTATTTGTTCACCAATCTTAATAAAATGGGCAGGCCAATTTGATACAACCTTTATATTGATTTTTATTGTCATTAATAGAAAATGTTCGAGCATTTCGTAAATACCTCAGAATGAAAATTAGGTTTTGTACAACTTTAATGAAAGAATTAAATATGAATGATCTTATTTCTCATATCTCTTACTTTATTTGCTGGAAGTTTTTGAACATTTTCTTTTTTTTATTTTCAAACCTGTTGTTTAGATAAAAAATTGAATTGTTAAGATGCAACACAAAATTAAGGGAATATTAAGGTATTTGCATTATATTTATAAAAGTTTTAACTAAAACAATAACACATTTTACGGCTATACTGTTGGATACCTAAACTCAAAATTTTCAACTTGATATACCCAAAATTGATAATGGACAGTTCCAAGAATGGAAGCTGGACAAGTCCATTTTAGAAATACAGCAGGGTCAGTGTTAAAGTTTAAATTACTAAATATATATTCTACAGCTTTGAACAGTTTTAAACTTCTGTACTGGCACATATAATTTAAATAAGCAAGGTCCCGTAAATATTGTTAAAGTTCACAAACTCTTTACCATTGTAGATAACTTTTTTGCTTTCTGTTCAGATGGAAAGTCTTTGCTGTTGTTAATTTGTAGATCCTTTGCTGTACTGATTTTTACACTTCATTCAGAGAAAGAAAACATTTTGAAATATTCATTTTGATATAATTATTAAAAACCAATACTGTGAACAAACAGTATAAAAATCTTTTGTTTGTTGTTTTATTTTATGGTATTGACAACCTTTTGCTTAATAAAGCTTCCTTTGGTTTTCTTAATGTCAGAAGATTTTGTAATCTGATCTCCTTGGCTATTATGCTTTGTAATTATCAGCCCTCTGACACAATAAGGTGACATATTGAAACTACTTTCAGTCACATGATAAAATGGTAGCCTCCATGTGACACAATCTATCTAGCTAGCTTACAGAACGTCAGTGGTTCTACTCAGGTGCCCGTTCGAGTTAGCTCAGGTGAGCTAAAAAGTAACAAAATAGCATTACATTTTAAACCAAAGAACAAATGTTCAAGTTTTACAATACTCACTTTATTCAGATAAATGATAACTGAATTTTCATACAGCATGCACAAGACAAAACCATTGATTATCTATGTACAAAGTATAAGTAGGAAATGTTCTTTTTATTTAACCACTACTGGTTGATTTATAAATGATTATAAAAACAAAAACATTTTAAGTAAACTGTAAAGAAATGTGTTGGTCATCGTGAAGAATAGAAAATATCAAAACACTTGGTTCAAATTATATATGTACATGTAAATTATACATAAACACTAAGGGTCTAGTTTAAAGGCAATGATCTTGTATTTCTACATAGGGTAAATGACATGTAAAATATTATATCTCAAAGAAAACAGACAAGTCAATGGTGATGTATATTTTAGACTGCTTTTGAAAATAAATTTATTATTTTTTATCCAAACAAATACATTATGTATCAAAATTGTATAAAAATTAAAAAAAAATTGTAAAAAATTCTATACTGGTAGAAGAAAGGCAGCACAAAAAGTCAACTCCTAGTCATTTAGTTTATTTTACCAGAAAATACAAACCTAGGGTTGTAAGATCATGGAGAATACTGAGGAAAGATAAACTGTATTACTATACAAATGGCATTTGATAGAAAATCCTGTAAACCAAGTCATATACATGTATTTATAAAACAAAAATCTTTCAAAAAGATAACAATATTATACACATCACAACATATATTTCATACTAGTGATAGTTCTAAACTATATGGCTTCTACTACTAACTCTACTGAAAATTTATCATTCTTTTATTTTATATAAAAGTTTTGTCTTCTCATCTATGATAAATGAATGAATAAATTTGGTGACGCATCAACCAAAAGCTTCCCTGTCTGTCACCTGAAAAAAGGTGATAAAATCAAAAATATTTAAAAGTTTCAGGTTTAGTAACAAATAGTTGGAAAAGTAAGTTAAAATATTTGGAACTAACAAGTGGAAATGGAAAGACAGCAATAGACTTGGGCACTACTTTCTTTCACCAAAGTTTTTCTTTACAAGTTTTTTTTTTATAAAATTGTAACAATACACCAAAAAAAAAAGTTTTTTAGAGAAATAAAAAATGATAGCATTCCTGGGGCATAATGCACCTTTAATTATAGATTTAATCTACTGCTGCCTATACACGAAGCCTGATTATTGAAAATTTCAATTTATCTAAGTCCTTTATAAACAAAACCTTTAAACTTACTATTGACGGAATTCTTTATGTAAGACAAACCCATTTCAAACAGCAATAAAGAAGTTACTAAAGCAACAGTACAAAGGCAGCCCAGTCAGAACATAATTAAAGTCTACCTAATCTGTTTACAGCTCAAATTTCAATATCACTATAGTTTCAAACTAGAAATTGACAATTCAAAATTCAAAGCCAATTAAACAATTAAATGTCACTTTTATTTTTTCAATTTTTCAAAATATTACCTGTATTACCTGTTTACTTCTTGCATGGCCACCAGCCGAGTTGGTGGAAGGCCAGAGACACAACACCTCCCAGCAACACTAGTTCAGAGATATGACCAAAACCTCCCCATCTCCTTTTCTCAGGATCTACAATACCAAGTATAAACCATTAAAATACATGAAACAAGAAATTTATTTGTTTGTTTGTTTCATTTTATGCCTTTTTCCAACAGTATTTCAGTCATATAGGCGGGTAGTTTCCTAACCATCGTTCCTGGAGAGTTACACCAGTACTAGACTACCTTTCTCCGCGCTAAACTACCAAAGCATCTCCCAAGGATCGAACCCACGCCAGAGCGGTAAATGGATTAGAAGTCATCGACTCTAACCCCTCGACCACGGAGGCGGGCAAGCCTTTGTCACTATTATAGAGACAGGCATGCCCGCACTTCCATGCAATCTAATTTGAAACAAGAACTTTCTGTTAAGACGTTCAACTATTCTCAGTGGTTAAGAGTAAGAAAAGGGGTGTAACTCTGTGAAAAGGTAACTCAAGAGTTATGGGACCTGAGATTATCACAGAAAATAAGTGTGTGAAGTTTCAACTCATTCCCTTCTGTTACTGTAGTTTTGGAGACAGTTTAAATGGCACACAAAAACTTTACCAAAGTGTGATGCTGACGCCTGGGTGAGTACAATATCGCTCCCTATTCCTCGAATAGTCAAATAATGAAACTATAAGTGTAACATCATCTCAGCATCTCAGACTTTCAGACTTATAACATGCTTATAAATATTACAATTATGAATAAATTTTGAGACCAGTTTAACACTTGAAAAGTTTGAACATTAATGAGAGTAAAATTAAACTAAGTAATAATTCTTGATTTAACAACTATCATTGTTCAATGCAGGTTAAAATACATTTAATTCAGTAAACATGTATTAAAGAGTAAATAAAATATAAATGTCAAAGTTTCAAACTACACATATATAAATATGCTGGAAGGTACAGTCTGAGGTTTAAATATTTATTCATTAGTACATGTACTGTATTTTAATAAAAGCAAAAGTATCATATAAACTATGTCATCCACAGGCTAGTGTTTTAAGCATAAACCCTTCAAATCACTGCATCTAATTTGATCCTTTCATAAACATTAATGTTATTAAGTTTGATGAAGATATCCATGTTACAGTATACAATCATGAATTTTGCTAAAGGTATTGATGAAAATAATTATTACACCTACAAAGAATTAAACGCTACTTGCAGCAAATAATCAATTTTAAATAAACAAGCAATTATCATAGTATTGCAATCAATCCATAAGTCCCCTACCGGATGGAACCCCATCAACATTCTGAAGGGCCATTGGCCATTCACTAATGTTTTTATAGTAAATTTGTTGGAAAATTTCTTTAAAAGTGATCACAGGAAACAGTTTTGTTAAAAAGACAGACGGACTGAAGGACACTCTAAATTTAATATTTGAAACATCCGTTACCAAAATATAACAATTCAAAAAGCAAAATACTTAAAGAGGAGATAACTCTGGAATTAAAGATGCAATTTCATAAAAATTTTCAGGTCTTTTTGACTCATCACAAATATTGTTATATTTGCCATGTTTTAAGCCTATTTGTTGCCAAGGCAACCAATTTTTTTTTTCAAAATAAGAAGAACAGATAAGAGATGCATAATCACAAGACTGCCATCTACCCATATGTCAAGTTTCATAAAAATATTTCCAGTACTTTTTAAGTTATCACTGGATTCAGTTTATGTGTAAAATTTGCCATATTTTCAGTCTATGTGTTGCCATAGCAACAAGAATTTACAAAGAAAAAGATGTGCATAATCTCCAGACTGCCATCTACACATATTACAAGTTTCATAAAAATACTTCTATTACTTTTTGCGTTAACACTGGATCCAGTTTATGTGTACAAATTGCCATATTTTCAGTCTATTTGTTGCCATAGCAACCAGAATTTTCAATATAGGAAGAAAAGAAAAAGACGTGCATAATCTCCAGACTACCATCTACCCATATGTCAAGTTTCATAAAAATATTTCCAGTACTTTTTGCGTTATCACTGGATCCAGTTTATGTGTAAAATTTGCCATAAATTTAGCCTATTTGTTGCCATAGCAACCAGAATTTTCAACATAGGAAGAAAAGAAAAAGACGTGCATAATCTCCATACTGCCATCTATCCATATATCAAGTTTCATAAAAATATTTTCAGTTCTTTTCAAGTTATCGCGGGATCCAGTTTTGTGGACGGACGGACTGACGGACTGACAGACAGACGGACGGACAGACGGACGGAGGGTAAACCTAAAGTCCCCTCCGGTAAGCCGGTAGGGGACTAAAAACATGCAGCACAGTATAGATTGTATGTTAAAGTTCCATCTTTACTGGTGGAAAAAGACCTCAAGATACAACTATGTATTTGAGAGTAAAACTTTACACCTCATATTATTAGCAGAACACAAAAATCTTTGTAGACAATTGATGATCAAAAAGACTTTAAATGAATTTAGTTTACAATAAGACCCTGTCTTATAAGGGATCAGTCTGATAGACCCCGCCTTATAAGCAGTCAGTCTAACAGACCCCGTCTTGTAACGGATGAGTCCTATAGACCTGCCTTATAAGGGACAAGTCTTATAGACCACGCCTTATAAGGGACAAGTCTTATAGTCTTATTTATTTATAATAGACCCGCCTTATAAGGGACAAGTCTTATAGACCGCGCCTTATAAGGGACAAGTCTTATAGACCATGCCTTATAAGGGACAAGTCTTATAGACCATGCCTTATAAGGGACAAGTCTTATAGACCATGCCTTATAAGGAACAAGTCTTATAGACCACGCCTTATAAGGAACAAGTCTTATAGACCATGCCTTATAAGGGACAAGTCTTATAGACCATGCCTTATAAGGGACAAGTCTTATAGACCATGCCTTATAAGGGACAAGTCTTATAGACCATGCCTTATAAGGGACAAGTCTTATAGACCACGCCTTATAAGGGACAAGTCTTATAGACCACGTCATTTAAGCAATCAGTCTTATAGATGAGTTAATATAGTACAGTGCAACCTTTGCAGAGGAACACCCATTGAGTGACTTAGATATTGGCTGGTGATGTGAGGTGTTACTCATGAGAGGTCAATTGTTTTAGTGAAGTCTTAAACTGATACAGTCGTTGTTCATAGGTTTATTGCTCTACAGAGGTTGCACTGTCATTAAACAGCAGGGTTTATACTCACCTCCAGTGTAATATCCCATGGCATAAGCTATTCTAGCTACTAGACACACAGCACCTGCTGCAGCTGAACATTTCTGGTGGGAAGGAAAAATGAGGGAAAATGGATTACATTTGAAATTAAGCGATGATTGTCTCTGTTTATACACATATATTTAAACTGTGATAAAAGGATCTTGGTAAATTGGAAATAAATACAAAAGAAATACCCCCATGTGATGTTGGTGAGGATAGGAACCAGTTGAAGATAGGAACCACATAAAGAGGATAGGAACCAGTTGAAGATAGGAACCACATGAGGAGGATAGGAACCAGTTGAAGATAGGAACCACATAAAGAGGATAGGAACCAGTTGAAGATAGGAACTACATGAAGAGGATAGGAACCAGTTGGTGAGGATAGATACCATACAGGGATGCTCCTCAAGGATATCAAACAGTATCAAATTAAATTTAACAAGTCAGTTGAATTAAAATAATATTGAGAAAGCCTTTGGCATACTTTTAATACATTCAACTAATGATAGACTTTATACAAAAATGACTCTTTTTATCACATACACAATATGAATGTTGAGTAATAAATGGACTAAAAATTCAATCATAGTAAGTCATTTCCAATTCAAATCTTTCATATCTTTTTTTCAAAATCTTAAAAAGCTGCCCTCATTAGTATGTGATAAAAATAGCTTAACAAACTGGGGAAATGAAGTACTTGATAAGCACAAGATGGTATCCTTTCTTCATATTTATAGATGGAGGTAAATCAAGAACACTTGGAAAAAGAGGTTATTCAGAACTCAGCAAATATATTTTTTTCCCAATCTCAAATAAGAAAACAACTTTTACTGTAATAGCTTCATGGTGCACTGCTGTGCCTGGGGTTAGACGGAAAGAAACTCACAAAGGGTTTTTATTTTTATCTTATTTTAAGCAAAAGAAGTGCTTTCTAAAACAACCAATTTCGCAGTGTATCAAGGGGCTTAAAATACGTTAGATTTTATTAGCATTTCAACCGACAATATGGATCGTTAATGTTTTAATAATGATAACTCTGCCACATTTGCCGAACTCTAAAGTATCTTTATGGATAACACATATATATGTTAAGGATTTCTGAATACACATTACACATTTATTTGAAATAAGTCTAGTGTGTAAATGATTACACATTTTTATACCTCCAGTATAGTACCCTTTTGCATAAAGTATTCTCGACAGTAGGTAACATAGTCCTGCAATCCCTGATATTTTCTATAAAAACATGATTTCTTTAGCTTAAACAATATTTTTTTGTAATCTTTACATTTACATTTTAAGAACATTATAACATAACATAAATTTTACGGATAGAGAAGGAAGTTTAAAAAGCTTTTTTGAAAACTCTCTGATTACAAATCTCCATGATTTCTTTATTAAGAAAATTCAACTGAATAAATCCTGCTTCCTTTTAATAGCCTAATAGATAAACTAATGTTTAAACTGTATCTTAATATTGTTAACTGACCCGTGCCGGCACTGTACTGTCTGATCATGGTCTGCACTGTTCACTAGTCAGTCAATACAGATGTTAACTTATGTGCATTCACACTTTAGCGATTAAAGCTGCAGGCCTCAAGATGAGCAAAAACATTTCAATAACTCGAACTTGAGAAAAATGTACTAAGAGTTTAGAAAAAGTAGAACGATTCAAGTAATAATTTACATGTTATCGGCGATAAATGGTTATTTTCTAATTATGTGTAACTATATTTCTACTAACGCAGTAAGGGCAATTTTTGCATATTTTAACCTCTTTTAGTAATTAACATGGGTTGTAAGTGCCATTGATAATGTGTACATTGCTTCCTATTGGTTAATAAACAGTATTATGCTGTTGATTACATTTTTAAAATCATGAAATTAAGCATTAATCTGTAGGTGTGTTGCCTTAAATATTTTAACATTCAGAAAAAATCCCTTTAAATTTTGGAAAAAAGCTAGAACAGGTGAAGGATACCTGTACAACTGACATTTCAACCAGCTTAATGCTTTTTCTTTTACAACTAATTTAAACAAGATTTGCCATTTTCAGCTTATATTTCTTACAAAGACCACAAGTCTCTCTGTATGTTTTTTGTTTGTTTAGAATTTAAGTAACACTAACACTTTAAAGGTCATACAGCAACTTTCAGCCTTTAATGGCTGAAAACCAAGATATCCATGTATTATTTTGACAAATTAAATACTTTATCAAAGAACTTGTACTTACTGGATACTGAAGTCCGCTGGTCAACAGCAGAAACATAAATGTTGAACTGCCTTCAAGTCTGTAATTTAATAACATATTGCATTTCATGAAAATTATATAAGAATACAATGACAAAAATTATGTAAATACCAGATAACTAACTGTTCTGTTACAGGTGCTTTAAAAATCTATTCTTAATATACAAGACAATATTAACTGAATGCTGAACACAAGAAATTTTATATATCACCATCTAAATGCTAAATCGAGTGATGATATGTTAAAGTAGATGCTTCCAGATTCATGCTTATTTTAATGAAAATTTTGAACATTTTAGTACATTTTCCTCAAGTTTGATTCTAAATGTGCAAACCAAATGAGCCGCATCACAACAAAACCAACAAAATGCATTTGCGCCCAGCATGGATCCAAACGGTTAAACCAGCCTGCGCATCTGCGCAGTCTGATCAGGATCCATGCTGTTCACTTACCAACTCTTTTACAAGTAGAGAAACTGATCGAGAACAGCATGGATCCTGATCAGACTGCGCGGACGCGCAGGCTGGTCTGGATCCATGCTGGTCGCATACCCATTATGTTGGTTTTGTCATGACGCGGCTCAAATGTCAGTGCAGCTTTATTTTTTAATTAGTTATCACTAGGACATGTGATGTTGAACAATTTTGGCAAATCTTTGGTGTTACAAACATAAAGCAACGCCAGCGGTCAAAAGAACATCACCTGCTATTGCTAAGAGATTCATAGACTCCAGTAGTTCAAACCAATTTAGTCACCTCTTACTATAACTCAGGGATAAACGGTGGCTGCAATTCTGATGACTCAATCCTTAAAGGCAATTCCTCAGCCACAAGGAAAAATTGATACCAATTTGACCTCAATATAATTTATGGTAAAAATAAAATTCTTACGTGTTTTGATGTGCCCTCTGAATACAGTTAAAGACATGGTTTGGTTCTGGATGATACAACTGTGGGTACTAAAATATACAATGAAAATTTGATAAACCTCAAACCTCTTTTCTGCTACAGGTAACAGGTTAAAGGTAATATAAATTTATTATCTAAGTCAATACAGATAGCTATTATTATCTTACCGAAAATAGTGGCATCCATGGCCAAGTGACTTAAAACTACTTGCCCCTCACTTCTGTGGGTTCAAATCCCGCCAGGAACTTTAGTTTCTTTGATATCGGAAGCTGTCCAGCTAGTTTATGATATATTTGTGGTTCTATTTGGGTGCTTTCAGATTTCCATAAATCTTTTTTAAATCAAGAAACAATTTTTTCTATCAGTCACTGTGTGTGTCATATATTTATTAATTATATATTTACATGTATAAGCCAAAGTATACTCAAAAACTATAATAATACATATGCAAAATAACACATCTTAATAAAAAATAATATATTAAATCACCTTGACATCATATTGTTTTCATTACCTTGACTTCATATTGTTTTCTGGCCCGTCCAACATTAATGGCCATCCACATGTTAACAAAAACACTGCCAACACCTGTCAACACTACATAGCCATAATCTTCTGGTAAACTCTCTACAAACTTGGACATACCGGCCATTGTTATATGTTAGCTGAAAAACAATACTTTAATATGTGATAACAATTAATAAACAGAAATACAAAACTAATAAAAGTTAATGAAAAATTCTTTCAATTTCATGCTCAATAAAAAAAATCTCAGTTAAATTATCAATTTAAAATATAAACAGCTATCTATTACAGTTATTGCCTATCCACCATACTGGTTAAGTTTGGCTTAAATTTAGGAAAATTTAGATAATTCAGAAAGCCGATGTGCATGGAAAAATATTTTGTTCAAAAACATTTCATTTTAAACTTATGTAAATATGTACTTGTAGTCTTACTCTTTTACTTCAATCTTTTTACTTTTCTTGAAATCTTATTACACTTTTTTCAAGTTTGATTTTTTTGACATATTTTAGCTATTAAAAATCTGGAGGCATGCAGTTTTAAATGCTTGCAGTCAATTAGCCTATCAGATTTAGCACATATTATGATGAGTGAGACTAAAAGCAGGATTGGAGCACCACACTAAATACCATATTCCGGTACATACCGGACAAGACGCTTGAATGATTAAATGCTTAAATCTCGCCTTTTCACCTTACAGAATGAACTTTAAAACGTCTAATTCATCTTTTCAAACCAATTTATATATGATAATGAATGAATTATGTAAGAATCGCCGAAAAAAAGATATTTGTTCATATTGTGAACATGATTTCTGCAAGCGTCTAGAGGTAATGCTCCGATCCTGTATTGAGCTAAATCTTAATATGATGGCCATTTGTTTAACAGCTGTATAAGGAATATAATTAAATAAAAGGATTTTTGTGTTAATTTAAAGGACTAGACTTACCAACTTTATAAACTGATATTACATACATGTAGGGCTAACATTGTATAAGTAAAAGCCCTAGTGCACAATTTATTGGGCTACTGTAGGACTAGCTTGTCATAAATCATAATCAGAATTTATTGCTGAGCTGAGTATCATGTAGATGTACATATGACTATGTACATGTACATGTAGCTCAAGGGAAAGCCATTATCAGATTTTTTCCTTGAATAAGAAAAATACATGTATGTTCCTTAAAAATTATTGCTTTATACTAATTAGTCGCAGGCATAGAATCAAGGAGTGTGTTTTTAAACGTAAAGCTTCCTACCCATGCAAACTGAAATAATGTCCGTAATTCAATATTGATACAGTTCTGTATGTAGGGTCTATAAACTGATAAAAGATACTTGTAAATTAGTCATTTATACAGTGTCAAAGTCCACACCAAATTTTAATTCGCATTTAGAGCATAGGTACTAACTTTCTCTGTACATAGAGAAAGATGTTGTTAAACCATTCATGAATATCTACATCAATATGGAAATCTTTGAAATTGTCCATTAATATTTTAGTAAAACCTTACCTTGAACAGTGTTGAAACCGAAAGTAGAGAATTATTACTATTAGGAAATTTCCTCTTTAAAAAATACAAGTATAACGCTGATAACTGCTTTGTAACACTTCTTTGAACGAAAATAATTATTAAGATATATTCTATAGTTACTCACGTACGTGATGACAATGACATACCTGTTAAATTATGCAATTTAGACGAGCTATTACAAATATTGAAGGTCACTCCAAACACAAAATATATAACGGAAGTGATATGCCGGGCACGTTGAAATAAAAAATTACGAATGTGAATAATTTCAGCGTCATCGTCTTTTCATATGCATCAGTATTCAAATTTAACGTATAAATGCTTATAAAATTGTTAAATTTTACCCATTCTGCAATATATGTAGCGGAGGTAGAGGATGTATTCAGCGGAGATTTAAATTCTGTGCGTCTGTGCGTCCGTACAACTAGCTTGAACGTTTGGGGGGGGGGGTCAACTCAACGTCAAAGTCACGTAATTTCTATTGAATCTATAGAATGGCCCATGGTTAAAATCGACTAAAGCAAGATTGATACAGAGATGTAGATAACAGATAACAGAGATAAGCAGCTCCTATATATACTCCATTGAAATATCACCCATGCCACGGATTTATTGTTGTTGTTGTTTTCTATTTCAGAAGGCCACATTGGAAATAAGATATATATGATTGTTATTGTATGTTCTTAATGTGTAACCTTCTTTAAATAAAGATATTATTATTATTATTATTATTATTATTATAAATCCGTGCTCATGCCTATCAAAAAAGTGAATAATTAGGCATTTTAATTATAGCAAATAAAACTTAATTAAAGGATGTACATTTGATCCTTTTATGATACCCGCAATTTGAAAGTTTAATCTTGTATCTATTGCTGTAGGTTAAAATATTGGTAACTTTCATTGCATTTCACTTAGAAAAACATAGCAGAACATTCCCACTGAGCAAGTTTTTTCGTCACATGAATAGTTTAATTTGTAACAAAAATAATGAGTAGTTCTCTTTAAATATTGATGTACATCATTTATTTAAATGGGAACTGTAAATGTTTTACATGCAGCCATAGACAAATGCATAAGCTTTCAGAAAATGTATTATTTTACTGATTTTGATATCAGGTTAATAAGTTTTACTTGCTGCATGTTTTAAGTTTAGCAAGCACGCGTGATATTTTAACTGGCTAGGAAGTTGCCTATCTCTGTTATCTATGTCTCTGATTGATATTAAAACATTTTTGTTACATTAAGCACCTTATCGGGTAAAATTCTGTTATAATCAACAATTACTATACATTATAACATTATAACGTTATCTATGTCTCTGCTACAATGCCGCCTTTCATGCTCTCCTATTTCTGTTGAATGTTGAAGTACCTGTGTAAAGGCTAAACATTCATCTACATCTACATCTGTACGTTAAACTGTCAAACTTGACATTTCTTTAACGGTGCGCAAGAAAATAGAATAAAGAGAAATAAAAATAGGATAGAAAGAAAAAGGACACGGACACAGTTTTTGCTAGATAGAAATTAAAAAGAAAAGAAGTAGCAGAAAATAGTTGTACACAGTTACTTTTCAACCATCTAGGCAAGACCAATCCAGCTTCCGTGGCGACCTGCTGGCATAGCTCAAGAACTTCATTTGGCGGTACTTCGTAACTGTGCATGTAAAAAGTCCCCTTAGAAGGTTAGTTTAGAAAGTTCATTCTTGAAGGATGCCAAAGAATGAGCCTCGACAACAGGTGCTGACAGGTTGTTCAACAGAGAAATATACAACGAGGAAAGAAGCTGAACTTAATTACATCAGTGGGCGTTGAATATTGCAGGATTCGGGTACTGTGTGGCGACCTTGGTCTGAGTTTAGATGGTGTTAAGAATTTGCCTTGATCTATCTCCACAAGTTGATTGATGATTTTGTAGAACATAATGAGTTGGATCTTTTGACGACGTGTTTCCAATGTTTCCCAGTTTAGATGTTGTAGCATATCTGAGACGCTGCTCGTATTATGGTACTTGTTTGTAATGAAGCGTGCTGCTCTTCGCTGTACCATTTCTACTTTATGTATTAGGTTTTTGTGATAGGGGTTCCAAATAGTGCAGCAGTATTCTAAGTTAGATCGAACAAGAGATATGCAGGCGCTTGTCTTAGTTTCACGGCTTGTGTTTCTGAGGTTACGTTTTAGGAAGCCTAGCATGTTGTTAGCTTTTGGTTAACATTGGTTGAGAGTGCATATATATTTTTGAGGGAAGACGTCTTGTATGGAGTTAGCATACTTACAAACTGTTTCCTTGCATAAAATATCTTCCCAGCTTACTGTAAGTATAGAATATTTCGTTACTTCATATAGTAACTTGATGCCGTACCTGGCGAATACATGTATTTCCAATGCTGTAACGGCTTTTAAAATGTTTCTTTTACACATCTTTTCGTATTATCCGACTGTACAAAGTAGACGGTCTATCGTTGGACCAAATACATTTTCTTTTTATCCAATTATAATTTATAATTTTACAAATGATTTTTGTCATGCCGCTTTGCGTACCGTCAAGACACTCCTTTTTCATGGAGGTTTTCACTCACTTACATATCGAGTAATGTGCATGCACTACATCCTTTTTTCACAGAAAGTATTCATGGATTGCTACTTTAGTGTGTGTAATTGAGTTTATTTGTACTCACCACCGGTTGCCCATATATGGGCGAGTTCTCCAGAAAGGTTTTATTTGGAGGATAGTGCAAGATACAGTGACAGAAAGATACCCCAATTCTAAAGCTTCTCTTGGTTCTTTAGCGTGCCAAGTGTTTAAAGCAGCACGCCTCCAGATTCATGCTAATTTTCATGAAAATTTTGAAAATGTACGGCATTTGAATGTGTAATATTGTGAAGTAACCAAACGGAAGCAATTTACACATTATCAATGGCACTTACAAACGCGTAAATTACCAAAAAGTGGTCAAAATAGGCATACATTTGTATTTGAAATAGCCTTTACTGCGTTAGTAACGCAGTAGAAACATAGCTGTAAATACTGTAAAATCAGTCATTAATCGCACATAATATGTAAAATATTACTTGAATCTTGGAACTTTTTACTTTTTCTTACATCTTAGTACATTTTTCCCAATTTTGATTTTATTGAAATAGTTTGACTCATCTGCAGGCATGTAGATTTAAGCACTCATACACGGGACCTAGATTTAAAGGCTCATTCGAAAGACTGATTAGTAATTTTAGTTGGCCAGCCCGGGAATCGAGCCCGCAATGTCGAAATTACAAGTCTCGCGCTCTAACCAATTTGGCTATGCGGGCTGGCTGCAACTTTAGCTAGGCAGTCAGTGCTCTATATAATAAACGCGCGAAGAGCGAAGAGCGAAGAGCGATTCTCATGTAACGCAAAAGATTATCCGTCACATCACAAAAATAACATTAACTGTTGTCAAACTTATTAGTAATTACTAGTAATGTGGTTGAAAAAACGAGTTTATTATTATTATTTTTGTTTGTTTTTTTCTTTTTAAATAATTTTAGAATATCTAAAAGCATGTTGTCAGGGTTAATTTTAAATTTGCTATAACAAACGAACAAGTCGAGTGGCCCATCAAAAGCACGTTCCTGCCATTGAATTTGGGGATGGAAGGTGGGGATGTTGGGGGAGAGATCCATACATCCAGACATGTTTACTAAAACGAAACTAGTTTATCTTTTAATTAGTACATGAATGTGTAAATGTAATTTCGAAAAACTATCAAGCCTATGTAGCCACAACATGCCGTTAGACTCAAGTCCCGGCCTCTGCTATTTTGGGCTCAGACCAGATTGATATGCTTAAGCTAATACGTATCTGAGACAGCAGATTTTATTACCACAGGCATTTTCGGACTCTCAATTCGGAGTGGAGAAATTATAGAAACAGTGTAAGCCCGTATTATAGACCCAATACTGGCTTTAAAAGTGGCGCGGCCATGGCCAAAGCGGCCTTGCAATAATCAATTTTAGATTTGATTTAAAGCTTCAGTCATTTGTAACCCTTGTCAATTGCAATGGTAGAATATCAGAGACGCTGACTTTGAAATCAGTCTTGGAAAAACAGAAATGAAGAAGTATTTTTACTTGCATCTAAAATACTAAATCAATATATTTTTACTTTGTGCCAAAACGCAACAGATGCAAAATATGGTTCAGGTGTTTGGCCAATAAGTTCATTTTTGGAAACTATAGCATGACACAAACTTGTAAATGTGAAATGAAAATTAAAGCAATTCTTGGGCATAATGCATGGCCTTTTAAGTTACTCTAAGAGTATTGCTCAAAGTACAACTCACTTCATGAACTAAACAGTACACGTACATAGCCATTGCTATCTAACTGTATAGTATAAGTCATACAGAAAGTTTTTGTGCCATTCGTGTTTTCGCCCCGCGACCCCGCCATTTTAACCTGTTAACTTTCGACTTTTCGCTTGGCGGGGTCGCGGGGCGAAAACACGAATGGCACAAATCAGCCACCATGCATTACTTAGCAAAACTCAAATCCGTGAACATTACTCATTTAACGTCATGTTCTTATGAGTTATTTCATATTTATTTATCATTACCGCAAATTAAAAACAAAGGAAATGCAAACATTTAGATATTAAGTTTTAGCGAACTTATACATGTACTTAAACTTAAATGCATGCAGGCATAATTCTCCGAATATGATAATTACTGACACTCCTATCTCAAAAGAACGCATTTTAAAAAAATGTCTTAAAAACAAAAATGTCTTAAAAACAAAAATGATGAACCAAATTATCATGTACAGAAATAATTTATTTTAATATAAGTACATATACATGTATATATGTATCGTGTGTTCAACAGGAAATACATGCTATAATGTTATAAGCAATTGCAAGAAACTATGAACATGTTCCCGGAAGTAACACTAGTAAATAAACAATAATAATTCATCCGATAACGTATTATATTACTGTATAAAAAATATGATTTTTTAAAAACACATAGTTAAAACAGTACGAAAAATTGAACAAACTGTGGCAAACCTATACACGTCAGTATAGATATTTAAATCATTATAGTTGAGGTTCAAACTCTTATCCTACTTAAACCAAACGCGATTAGTCTTTTACCACCATTGCAGGGCAAGACCAGCCTGAACATTCGCGCAGTCTGATCAGGCTCTCTGTAGATAATATTTGTACCTTTTGAAATTAAAATACCCTGAAATTCGAGTGACCTGTTCTAAATTAAAAAAAAACAACAGGGACATCCTTTGCGCAATTACAACGGCATGTGTATGCTTCCTTCTTATACATGTATAATCCCTAAACGCAAATAGAACTCCTGTTAATCAACTGAGTAAAATAATTAAAATTTTGAACGTGGATTATGGAACTTGAATTACAAACGAGAGGATAAATTATATCGAATGTGATAAGTGAAATGTGAGTGTGTTTGGGTTAGTTTACCCTCGCCACCGAAAAGAGACCGTATGAGTGATGCATATACATATCGGTACATGTATCAGTGAAAATGTTTGCATACATTTTATGCACTCAACCAGAATTTAAGCCATTCAAAGTATCTAAGCCAATCAGAATCTAAGACATCAGAATCTTAGCCAATAAGAATCTTAGACAGTCGCAATCTGAGCCAATCAGAATCTTAGACAGTCGCAATCTGAGCCAATCAGAATCTAAGACAATCGGAATCTTAGCCAATCAGAATCTAAGACAACTAGACTCTAAGACAATCAAAATCTTAGCTAATCATAAAGTTATCCAATAAGAATATAAGACATCAGAATCTTAGCCAATAAGAATCTTAGACAGTCGCAATCTGAGCCAATCAGAATCTAAGACAGTCGCAATCTGAGCCAATCAGAATCTAAGACAATCGGAATCTTAGCCAATCAGAATCTAAGACAACCAGACTCTAAGACAATCAGAATCTTAGCTAATCATAAAGTTATCCAATAAGAATCTAAGACAATTAGAATCTATGCCAATCAAGATATATGTCAATCAGAATCTTAGGCAATCAGAATCTAAGCCATTGAGAATCACATGTTTTTCGCATTTGAGGGATGAATCAAATTCATGTACTTGATTGGTTAAGAGTAATTTGGAAGTATTTGAATGTCAAGTTTTTCTGTTAACCATTATTAAAATGAATTACGGCTTTAACATTTTAAGGCGACCTTCTTGCAGCGTTTGTTTAATGCTTCAGTAATATCTAAAAATAATTTTTCTTTACTTTTCATTTCATTCTCTCTTTTTTCTTTCATCCAATACTGAATGCCACAATATCCTACAAAATTAGGGCAAGCAGTGTGACAAATGGGATGTGTTTTACCAGTTACATCTAGATGATATCATATGAATAGTAAAGCCAAAATGAACCAAAATATATTTCAAAAATTAAAGGCACATTATGTCTCAGAAACGGACAAATTTTTAATCCTTTAGAAAGGGCAAATATGAAATTTATAACATTGAAAAAATGATTTAGGAGCAAGTCAGATGCTTACAGCCTGAAGAAAATATCGGTAAATGTAAAATAATGTGTCATAAAAGTAGCAAATTGTAAACAAAGTAGTATTTTGACTTCCATACAAAATACTAAAATTACTATAACTGTACAAACTGCCAAAAAGCAGCAGATGAAAAATGGTTGAAGCACTTAGCCAACAAATAGCTATAAAAACATTTCTGTGGCATAATGGACCTTTATCGATTCTGTGACAGTGTTGCTATTTCTATTTATTCGTGGATTTAACAAAAAATAGCAAAAGCAAATGAAAATAAAAAACAAAAAATAATGATTAAAAATAAGATAAAATAAATCTGAATAACTCGAACTGTTCAGTGAACAACAAGTGAACATCTATAAATGTTATTATATATATAACTATTTTAATATATATCTGTATAAAACAAAATACAAAATATATGTTAAATGATAATTTTAACTAAGTGAAGCTATCGTAAGTGCATGTAATAAAAATGATACTATGTAAAGTCTATTTCCCCTACCGGACCCCACCCCACAATTTACTACAGTTTTTACAGCCCAGCTGAACTGTAAAAAGCACTGTAACACATAAATCTTCTATATCAAAAGTTATTTTCGTGTTGAAATTGAGTATTTTTTTTTAAATATTTGCTCTTATTTTCTAATAATGCATTTTTTTTTCTAGCAATAATTATTTTTATATTCTTGTACAATGACGTCACAAATCTATCAAGGGGAGGCAATTGATGTGGGTAATTGTATCAGCTTTAAGCAACTTTATCAAATCATTAATTACTTCACCATAAAATAAATTTCATCTTTCGTAAACCATAAAATATTTTATATTTCGTAAATCGTATGCAATATTCAAATAACGAATTCTTGTCTAAATAATTATGCAATCATTTCATTCAAAATTTATGATCTTTCAATTTCTAATATATGATTTCACTAAATGATCTACCAACCGTGCAAAAATCATTATTGAACAGTGAGTATTTGAACATTGTGCATATTCATGGTAATGCCCCTATATCCATATAAAGTCAGATGTGCATTCTTGTGTACAGTTGGGCCAGACTCTGTACTATAAGCCATTCAGATTTGTAATTTTGGGATTTAACTCACTACGGTGTTAGGGCAGTCTACATGTGAACGTTTGCAGAAATCATGATCACAAAGTAGAAAAATATAGCATTTTTCGCCGATTCGTACAGTTTTCATTCATTTCGTATATAAATCGGTGTGAAAAGATAAATAAGACGTATTAAAATGCATTTTTGGTGGTTGAAAAAGGCCAGAGTTTAGCATTTGATAATTCAAGGGCCTGGTCCGGTTCATACCAGAATACGGAATTTAATGTGGTGCTCTAACACTCGTAGTTTGTAAGTGAAACCTCTTGTATCAGATACACCAAGGCCAGTTAAAAAAAGGGAAACATAGATGTTCACAATCAGCACTGGAACAGTTTAAAAACTAATTTGTGAATTATAAATTGATATAACAATAGTTGATTATTAAAGCATTGACAGTATAAAATAGAATAAAATTCATATAAAAAATTCAATTGTACAATCATCTATATTCCAGATAGTTTGTGTTTTTGTATTTTTTAAACAAAGTTAACTACTTGTTGATCCCTCCCGTCTTCCATATGTATAGGAGCTAGGACCTCTGTGTGTGTGCCGAAATTCTTCATTGATGTGTCTGCTAAAACCTCTTTCGTTCATGAACTGCTTGGTCCGGAAGTCACGTGGTTGTCCATAAAGTCTATATCCGCCTGCGTCTGTGGTGTAATCCCATCCTGAACGATAACGGTCTTCACCACCGGCATCAGACCAGGCGTAACGACGGAGGCCACGTGGCTGAGGCTGTGATCTGCTGACAACATAAGATCCACGCATTTCTGTCGGCCTGTATTGGTAATGGTAATTGTAAGCCGAAGGATGTTGTCTAGTTTCCGAGACCCCGTATGTTTTCCTCAGCACCGGTTTTTCGACCACAATTGTCTGTGGTTTAGGAAGTGGTTGTTCGGGCATATCGACATAAACCGGCTTTTCTATGATGATAGGCTTAGGTACAGGAGGACGTGGTCGTGGTCTAAACACCGGCTTCTCAACAACAATCCTTTGCGGCTCAACTTTAGGCCAAGGGGGAGGGTCCACGTACACAATTTTCTCAATGATGATTGGATCAGGTTGCGGTGGGGGCGGGCCAGGATCTCTCATTACAAGTTTCTCGACGACAATGCGCTGGGGTTCTGGTTTTGGCCATCTTGGTGGTGGTACTTCCACCGGTTTCTCGATGATAATTGGTTTAGGGGGAGGTGGTGGCGGGCCCGGGTCACTTATGATTGGTTTTTCAACAACAATTCTTTGTGCTTCTTGTTTAGGGTATGGTGGTGCATCAATATAAACATTTTTTGTTTCTATGATAGGTGTTGGAGGTCTTGGAGCCGGCTTTGGGGCATTAAAGCATGGCTTCTCAACAACTATTCTGTGGGGTTTCTGTTCCGGATATTCTGGGGGATCAATATAAACTTCCCTCTGTTCTATTATAGGCGGAGGAGCGGGGGGCGCAGGACCGATTTCCCTCATGACCGGCGTGTCGACAATAATCTTCTGAGGAGCTCGTTCTGGCCAAGCAGGTGGGTCAATATAAACAGGATTTTCTTGGATGATCGGAGCTGGTGGAGTGGGTGGCTGAGGCCAATCCCTAACTACCGGCTTATCGACAACTATGACTTGAGGATCCTGTTTTGGAGGTTCAGGTAGATCCACAAAGACTTCATTCTCAACCACCTTCGGAGCTGGGGGATCTGGCCAGTGCATCTCTTTGAAGACTGGTTTATCTACGTATATAATTTGTTGTTCCATCTTAGGTAGTGGCGGAGGCTCGATAACAACTGGTCTCTCTATGATTTTAGGTGGAGGAATTTCGATCGGAGGTGCAGGCTTTATTATGGGTTTATCGACATATATCGTCTGCTGCGGAGGTGGTGTTGGTGGTCTCATATGCTCAACATTCGACTTGATAAATACCGTTTCCGACTCCGGTACAGGTGGTGGTGTTTGTGACCTTACCTCGCTAGCTTTTACGTAGTATGTATTGCCATCCATCGTTATGTTTGCGTCGGTATAATTCCGAGTTGACACGCGCCCTGTGCGTTTCATCGAGGTGTTATCAACGGTAGTGACGTATGTTTTTGTGTCAGCGTTGTACTGTCGCGTATCATAATCTTCCTGGTACATGTAGATTTTTCTGGTATCCACTCTTTTTTCGGCGTTTGATTGGTTAAGTCGTAGCGTACGATCAAACTCACTGGATCGATCAATGAAGAATTTCATTGCCCCCGTTTCATTATATCCCTTGGTGAACGCAGTATGCGCAGTTTGTGTGGCATTAACAAGGTGAAGAGCGTCACGAGTAGAATTACAGATGAACATGTGACATTGTAGATCATCTTCCATGGTATGTCGCATCACCGTAGAAAAAATGGCGGGGTGATCTGAGTCCGGCTCTATCGCTGTTATAACGGAATGGACAGGTACAAACTTCATGTTAGATGAACCAGAAGCATCCTCAACGCATCTCACTGCAGCACAAATTGATAAAGTTCTTATCGGCAAGCTAAATTCCGGTTTGGCGTCATTTGAATATTGAACAAACAATTCGTTCGGTGTGACGGTGATAGTGACGTCATACCCCTCAACAGACTTCAAGTTTCCCCTGTAGCGGAAATTTCAAGAGAATACTTTACACAAATATAGTTTAAAATGTCGGTATTTAAAGACGTTTTGAGTATTTAAAATTCTTTGGCATCAAAATGGTTTGAAGCTTTATTGTTGACAAGCGCAGTAAACAATTTTCTATCAACATTACTTTCAAATGCTTCGATAGAAAAAATAATATAACAGGAACAATGAAAAATATTTTATGTGACGGTGAACAACCGATTACTGATGAAAAATGAGTTTTTACTGTGGGGTAACTCGGTAGGTAGGACTGCGGAACGATATTCCAATCATCAAGGGTTCGAGTTCCTGGACCGGCGTTGCTAATCTTCTCTCAGTGAATCGTCTGGCCAAGCAGGTGATCAATAATAAATTAAGATTTTTGAGATGAGCTGGTGAAGTGGGTGGCTAGCCAATCCTTAACGTCCGGCTTATCGACAACTATGACTTGAGATCCTGTTTTAAGGGGTTCAGGTAGTTCCACAAACTCATTCTCAACCATCCTTCGAGCTAGGGTATCTGCCAGCTGGACCCTTTGAAGACTGGTTTATCACGTATATAATTTCGTTGTTCATCTTAGGAATGCGCAGGTCGATATACTAACGGTCTTTATGCAAATTTAGGTGAGAATTTCGATCGGAGGTGCCGGTCGTTTTTGATTGTTTATGACTATATCGTCTGCGCGGAGCGGTGTGTGGTCTATATGCTCAACATTCGAAACTGATAAATACGTCGACTCGTAGGTGTGGTGTTTGTGACCTTACCTTCGCTACTTTACATAAGTATGTATTAGCCATCCATCGTTATGCTTGCGTCGTTATATATTTCCGATGACAACGCCCTTGCGTTTTTCACAGTGTTATCACGTGTGACGTAATGTTTTGTGTCACAGTTTACTGTCGGTATCATAATCTCTGGTACATGTAGATTTCTGGTATCCACTCTTTTCTGCGTTGATTGGTTAAGTCGTAGCGTACGATCAAACTCACTGGATGGATCAATAGAAGAATTCATTGCCCTGTTTCGATTTATATCACCTTGTGAACGCTGTATTCGCAGTTTTGTGTAGCATTAACAAGGTTAAGAGCGTTCCAAGTGTAAATTACAGATGAACATGTGAACATGTAGATCATCTCATGGTACGTCGATTAACGTACGAAAAAATGGCGGGTGATCCGAGTCGTTCTATTGCATGTTATAACGGAATGGACAGGTACAAACTTCATTAGAACATCCTAACGCAATCTCTAGCATCAGCACAAATGATAATCTTTATCGCAATAAATTCGGTCGGCGTCATTTGAATATTGAACAACAATCGTTCGGACGACGTGATAGTGACGTCATACTCCTCACAGACGACAGTTCCTTTTAGCTTGAAATTTTAAGCAATACTGTCTTACACAAATATATTTCCCAAAATTAGGCGCTATTTGAAGACGTTTGTGAAATGAAATTCTTTGGCATCCAACGTTAAAGAGAACATTAAACAAGTATTATTTATTAATAATTTGCATAATACTTCGAAGTAAGAAATAATAAAATCAGGAACAATTGAAACAATGATAATGAAAAATATTTAATGATTCCTGAGACGATTACTTTTAAAGATAACACTTGGTTTATGTGGGTAATGTAAACGATATTCCAATCATCAGGGTTGAGTCCCGGTAGGCTGCTTTTGTTGGTTCTGGATTGAATGCCGCTCAAATGTCACGAAGATCAATTTATCGAAAGATACTAGAACAATGTCTGTAGAAAACCTTAAGAAACAAGCATGCGAATGCTGTCAACAGAGTTCGCTTGATCTGTAGTGGCTTACGTACTTACTTATGTTTAAGGGCATTGCAGGCTTCACAGACCTTGATCGTTTATAGTCACCTATTAACTATGTAGAACACCTTGCACTGTACATAATATTCCCTTCTTACAACCATGGTTGAAGTCTTTTCGCGTATGCACTTTATGAGTTTACGGATCTCGAGCTGTCGTGTATTTGAAACGGAGCGTTCGGAATAAAATGCACATAAAGATACTATTTTGTTTAAATTTTGCTTCGTTTATGACAAATCATTTCACATTCAACACTGCTTTCTTCACGTGACAGTTAATCCGATCTAAATATTACAAATGATCACACGTTTGCCTTTTGTCCAGAGGAAAATTCGTATTTATTTCTGAATCGTTATGCCTTTAAAAGTTTTTTTTTTAATTTAAAATAGAAAATAAATATCCGGCATAAATAATGTTTTCTATTAAAGATTACCGGGATAAGCTGAAGTTAGAACGGCTTATGCCAAATCACTTATTAGTTGAAAAGAAGCTTACAGCATAATTATCCGAAAAAAAAGCTGTGTATTTATCATCTTGGTTTATTTTTAAAGGCGTTGTCCGTTCAAAACATAATCAGTTAGACAAAATGGGAGGAGAAACTTGATTTATTAAATCTATCAGCTGTAGCTTGTTAAAGTTTTCACGAAAAGAAGGCATATACGTATACTTGACGAACAACTAAATATCAAAAATACTAAATTAGATGTCATCACTTTAATTATGATATGACACTGTGAAAATAACACAAATATAATTTTGATCATAATAATATCAATATAACGTGGATAGTTGAATATCACCAATTATGACAGTTCTTAGATATATTACCAATATGACGTTTTTAGATAAAATATCACCAGTATGGCGTTGTTAGATAAAATATCACCAATAAATCGTCGGTTGACTAAATTTTACCAATATGACGCTGATTTAATATCAATAAATATGATTTTTAGGTTAAATATCACCAAATAAAAAAAATTATGATGTTGTTGGGTTAAAATATCAACACATATGATGTTGTTGGGTTAAAATATCACTAATGTGGCGTTGTAATATAAAAAAAATCATCAATAAGCGTTGTTAGTTTCGACACCACCAATATAATAGATTAAGTATCACCAATATAACATTGTTATGTAAAATATCACAAATATTTCGCTGTTAAAGGTTGAATATCACCAATTTTCGTTTTCAATGTCACTTATGCTATGTTGATATGACCAGATCATATTTATTTTATTGTAAACAGAAATATGGTTTGGCTTCCTTACGCTTTCTATACACTTAATTCGGATGTTGGAAACAATGTATCCAAACGGCGACAACGATAACAATAATAATACTCTTCAACACAGTTGAAATGAGCCGCGTCACGACAAAACCAACATAATGGGTTTGCGACCAGCATGGAACCAGACCAGTCCGCGCAGTCTGATCAGGATCCATGCTGTTCGCTTACTAATCTTTTTACAAGTAGAGTAACTGATAGCGAACAGCATGGATCCTGATCAGACTGCGCAGGCTGGTCTGGATCCATGCTGGTCGCAAACGCACTATGTTGGTTTTGTCGTGACGCGGCTCAAATGTTATATGTCACGCTTCAATTACAAAAGAGCAGTAATTTAACAATGAATACCACGGGGTGGGTGTATAAAAGAATGTGGTGTAAAACACCCATCCTACAAAACCATTATGTGTAAAACCCAGCCCTGTAGCCATTTAAATTCAAGTTTATCTTTAACTGGCTGCTGCGTAAACATTCCATAAATAGATCTCATTATTATCATATATAAAACATTTACATATCTAATGGTATGTAATTGAAAATTAATACATATCTGATATTCAGATAGAAACTACATTTTAGATAATGGTCTATTCTTCGAAAATGTCATATAAGCTTAAAACTTAATGTTTTGTAACGAAATCAATAAAGACTATAAATTAAAGGCTTAAACTGTTTTTTTGTATAATATAGGCTGTTAGATTGCTTGCAAGTAAAATGTGTATAAACTGTACAAATATTAAAAAACAAAAAAACCTATGGCCTAAATATATTAAATTTTTTTTCATTTACAAAATCGTGTGTTTAAAAGAACATGTTTTTTTGTAAACAGAAGAGCATGTTAGATGTTAAAAAACATAAAAGACGTGCTTTAGGAACCGGTAAAATGCTTTTGTTGAATGATACTTGTTATGTAGCATTTTGACTTGAGAATTGCCAAAATACTCTAATCACTATATTCATAACAAATATGCCCATGTACCTAAAGCAAGGAAGCAAAAGATGGCAGAATAATGTGTATTACGATTATAAAACCAAATTTATGAAATGTAACACAGTACAATAATTAAGAGATTTGAATATAAAAATGAAGCATTTCGGAAGCCTAATGGGCCTTTAAAATGTTATAAATACTCTTTTTTCATTTCTTATTCTTTTTTTAAAGGATGGAACCATTGATCAATAGGTCACCTAGAGTAGATTATTCTAATATCATTTTTATTATTCTTAATATTTGGTTGGCTTTTACGTTGCACCAACACAGAAGAGGACATTATATGGCAACTTTCCAGCTTTACTGGTGGAGGAAAAACTCATGTAACCCTCAGTGCATTATTTCAGGCTCGACGCTGAAGTTTTTGTTGTATGAAACTTCGTTTTGTGCATTTTGTAGGGCTTTGAAGTAAATGGCGGCAGAGCGGGGGTGGGGGGGATCAGGTGGTGACATTGGCTGTGTTTAGAACTTGACTGCGCAGACCTAACATGATATATTCCCATGTGATCTTAAAGCAAGGGACCAGAGATTGAGAAATAAAATATGCTAATGAGTTTAATCAGATTAACCAAATTATGAATTAACACCAGGTACAGTTATTAAGTTATTTATGTATGCAATTTAATTTACACATGTACGTGATTTCTCACGATAACTCAGTGGTTGTAATATATGCAGAATATATCAAAGAAATGTAATATTAAATTTTCTATCCCATGAATAATTCAATTAAAAAAAGATATGTATTTTCAAATTGGCAAAATCGATATCATCAATTTCATTTGATTCACCGAAAGCTAATAAATTGTCGGTATAATCCGCTTATAGCCGTAACTAGCCTGCCACTTTCCGCGATTAGTCCGCCACTTTCCGTGACCAGTACAATATGAAGTAAGCGTCGACATGACCAAAATTGCATAACATTTTGTCAACTAAATGCTTATTTAGCGAATAAACACCATTAGATGTTTGCCAAATCTATACAAACTATTTGATATTGAAGAGTAAAGCGAAGTTTTAAAGATCCTGTGTGTTGTTATTAAGGTTGTTACCACACTTATTAAGTGAAATTTATATAATTATGTATATAATTATGCTTCTAAAACAATTTTCAAACATCGAAGAATATATAAAATATGTACTGCAAAAATTTGTCCACATTATATGTTCATTAAAATATATGCATTTCTTATTGAAAAAAATTGACTTAGGACTTTATAGAAAATAACATGAAATGTAAATTCGGTACTATCTTTACAAATAATGCTTTTTGGAACTTACAATATTGACAAATCTTCATTTGAGCATTATATTTATGATATAAAACCATAAAAAAATGTGTTACAGGATCTTTAAGCTGAATCTATGCAAATCATTGGTAGATGAT